CTTTTCAGTTTCTTTTTTCCTCCTCTTCCTCTTGTAGTAGAGTTGTTTTTCTCTTTTGGGAGGCCTGCCACCCAGCTCCCAAATTAATCACATGGAAGCTTATTCTTACTTATGAATACCTGGCCTTAGCTTGGTTTATTTCTATCCAGCTTTTCTTAAATTAACCCTCCTACCTTTTGCCTCTAGGCTTTCCCTGTTCTCTTCTGTAAATCATACTCTTATTCCGTGGATTGCTCCTGAAGTCTTCCTTTCCTTGTTCTCCGGTTCTTCTTTCTTGATTATCCTATTTATCCTCTCTGCCTGCCAGCCCCGCCTATCCTTTCTCCTGCCTTGATATTAGCCCTTAAACTCTTTATTAGGCCCATCAGGTGTTTTAGACAGGCCAAGTAACACAGCTTCACAGAGTTAAACAAATGCAGTGCAAACAAAAGTCACACACCTTAAAATAATGTTCTACCACATCCCCTCCTTTGTTTCTTTTAATTGCTGTGGCTTGAACCCATGATCTCATGTTAAATGAGGCCTACCACTGAGCTATACCCCAGCCTTTTCTTTTCAGCCAAAGCACCCCACCTCCATTCTGGATGCAGATAGTCAGACTTGCCCTTTGCACAGGCTCTCTTGATACTGGTGTCATAAGGTAGGCAGGCAGGCAGGCAGGACAGCTCTTCATTCCTTCCCTTTGGACCCTTCTCTGAGAGTGGGGCATTTGTCCTTACCAGCTACAGACCATTCATGTTCCTGATTCAGCCCTGAACTTTTTCTGAATGACATTTATTCAAGATGGTAAAAACTATGTGCTCAGTTTACTCCTTAACACTCCCCCCCCCCTCTTGTTGCCCATGGGATGAGGCCCAAATCCCTTAAGATTCTTTTAAGTGGCCCAGCCCCAGCCTGTTTCTCACTTCTTATGGTGTTAGCTGCCACTGTTAGTGCCTTCTCTACAATGACTCTCTGCTTGTATACCTCATTTGTCATTTCTTAGAAAGATGTTTGCTAGTCTCTTTTCTACCTCCTCTGTTGGTCTCCTTGCAGTTCTGTGCCTTTCATGATCCCATTGCTCTGCAGCAGGGCCTTAGGTGAGCATCCTAAAGGGCTTTGGCACATGCTGGTCTACATGTGCCTATTTTTCTTTGGGTGTCAAGGACTCATTTAAATGACCAGTCTTCTTTAAATGAGCTTCCTGTGTACTTAAATACTTCATCTACCCTAAGAATTATAGTATATTCTACTTTAAGAAAAATTTAAAATATATGTGTCTCTGTGTATATGTATACATGTAGGAGTTAGTTTGGAAATGACAGGTTTGAGAAAATGGAAATTTTGTTAAGTGTTCTGTCTGTAGAGGACAGAAGTCAGTGTGTGTCACTTCTGAGGCACCATCCCTACCCACAATTGGGATTGTAAGCTTGAACTACTATACCTAGTCTTTTAATACTTCCTGGGGATTGAGCTCAGGTCTTATTCAGACAGATAGGTAGCCAACTCTCCAGTCTTTCTTAAATTTTAAGATTTTTGCTTGCTTTTTGTTGCCTGGGATAATAGCATCAAATTAATATTCCTCCTACTTCAGACTCTGAGTACTGGGATTACGTATGGAATACCACCATACCTGTGGAGTTTTAAGTTTTTTTTAAGTGTTTTTCTGCCTGGTGTGTGTTGGGGTAAGAGAGCAGATGTGCCTATATCTACATTCAGTCATGATGGGAATGTGGTTACACCAAGGGAACCCGTTCAAGCAGCATCAATACCAGCAGAATAATGTCATATCCTGTGAGGGCTTTACAGACTGGAGAACCACATGTATTTGAGACTGCAGATGCTACTTTTGACTCTTCTCTGCTAATCTCGTGAGGTGATGGCTATGACGTTAGATCCTTATCCTGTGGCTCTAAAGAATTTTGTAATATTGATGTGTTGGGTGATACTATTCTAGCATCTCTGATTTCTCACTGTTACAAAATTCACTAGAATCAGCATCTTTGACAATGAACAGAATTCCACTGTGGCAAAAGTATGCCAACAAGGGAATTGGTCATGGTGGCACAGGTATGATGACTCAAAGAGCTGTCAACTTCTAAGAGCCATATTTGTACCTCCCCGGTCTCCCTATAGTTTTTTCATGTGTCTCACTATCTGTAGAATGACTTCATTTGCTTCCCCATGCTTGTGGCCTAGTTAGTCTTGAAGTCTGTAGCTGAAGCTGCCAGCTTGATTAGCATCTTTGAGCCTTTCAGGGAAATCAATAGGAGAGATAAAATGATTATCTTGTGTTTGTAAAACCATTCTTCCTTTTAGTTCCCATTGCAGTTAATGGGGAAAAAGTGGGTCCTTCCAGGAGGCTGGGGACCAGGAGTTGGTCTGGGAAAGGGAATTTGTGATGGGCAATATACTACAAGGCTTCTCTGAATGACTGTCTCTGGAATTTAAAGAAAGAATTTCATATCTGGTGTAGTGTTGTTCACCAGTAACCCCTGCACTCAGCAGGCGGAGGCAAGAGAATCCCAACCTGGGCTACATAGTGTATTATTTTAAAAGGCAGGTACTTATGCTGATGTGAGAGCAGGGAAGTCCTTACCCAGCTGGCCCCAGTGTTGGGACAGGGTTCTAAGCACTAGTCAAGACAAATGCTACAGTCTTCACCAGCTGGTAGAATTTTGTGATTCCCTTTGCTTTCTTTTCAAAGTGTGATAGAACCTGACCAAAATAATTGTGCTTTAGTGTATTTCTTCCTCTGTGATGGAGAATGAAAACTCTGTGTAAGAATTCCTAAATTACCAAATACTTACCTGTACATGTACTTGAATAGCTTGCTCAGCCTTCAGAAGGCTGCAACAGACTCAGCCCCCCTGACAGGCTCCCCGGACTCCCTAACAAACCCCAGGCTTAAGAAGCCTGTCCCCAGGTTTGTGGCATCTCCTGGATAGTAACCATATTTACCTCCAAAATAGGCTGTCTTGAAAGAGTTCTACAGAAACAGGGTACCATCTCATGTTTAGTCAGCTGACTGTCCTCACACTGCCACCCCTTCACTGCCCCTCTACCTCCCACCCCTCACCCCCGGTGCGAATTCCTCAGCCTTACCCATGTTTATTCTGATGCCATAGTTCAGTCAGACATTTATTCTACCCAGTTTATTTGCTGACAAAAGTGTTGTGTCGTTTAGTATTTTCCAGTCAGGAATTGACTGATTACATCATCCCATGGTGTCATTTAATGTGTTTCTGTGTCCTGTTTTTGTTTTGTTCTCTTTCCTTTTTTGTTGTATTTAGGGTAGAACCCTGAACCTTACATGGTAGGGAAGTGCTGTTCCACTGAACTACTCTGGAAATCCAGCCTCTGTATTGTTTAGTTTGAGACAGTCTCATCAGGTCTGCTGGGCTGGTCTTGAACTCTGTCCTCCTGCGTCACTCAGCCTCCCGAGTGACCTGCATCACAGGCTTCCACCACCATCCTGACCTCTGCCTACTAAGTGATAATAGATATAAATCTTAAAATTTAGTTTAATACATTAACTGTCACTATAAGTTACTGGAATTTCTGTCCACCTTTATATAAAGATGTATTTGTTTGTTTATTTTAGTTTTATTGTTTTATGAGACAGAGTTTTTTTTTTTTTTGTTTGTTTTGGTTTGGTTTTTTTTTATAGCCCAGGTTGGCCTGGAACTCACTGTTATCCAGTGAAGGCCTTTCAAATGCCGGGTTTACAGTTAGGACCACCACAACCTTTCTTAAAAACACGTTTTATTTTTAATGTCTAAAGATTACATTTATTTATTCGTGTGTGTGTGTGTGTGTGTGTGTGTGTGTGTGTGTGTGTGTGTGTGTTTTCATGTGGTAGCACTAATAAAGTCAGAGGACAACTTGGTAGGCCTAGTTCTCTTCTACTACAGGTCATCAGGATTGTTAGCAAGTGCTTTTACACTGAACCATTCAGTTCCATTATTGTTGTTGTTTCTCCTTAGCACTGGCTGTCCTGGAACCAGGTAGGCCTCAGGAATCTGCCTGCCTCTGCCTCCCAAAGTGCTGGGATTAAAGACATGTGCCACCACCAGGCTCTATTTTTATTTTTTTAAGAGACTCTCATTTAGCCTAAGCTGTCCTCATGTTTGCTATAGCCAAGAATGACCTTGAACCTCTTGATCTCCCTCCACCTCCTGAGTGCTGTTTTTACAGACATGTTCTACCAAGTCCTGTTTGCATATGTACACATGTATACAGGTATGTGTGTGTGTTTGTGGAGGCCACAAGTTGACATTGGGTGTCTTCTTTAGTTGCCCTCCATGTTATTTTTTGAGACAGTCACTCACTGAGCCTGGGCTTTACCTGTTTGTTTAGACTAGCTAGCAAATATGCCTCAAGGGTCCTCCTGTCTCTGCTTTCCCAGTATTGGAATTGCAGGTGCATGCTGCTGTGCCAGCTGTTACATGAGTGTTGGCAACTAAGTTTAGGTCCTCCATGCTCTCTTTTTTGCAGAGTACTTTACTGAAAGAGCCCTCTCTCCACATCCTGTTTTTTGTTTGTTTGCTTGTTTCTCATGCTGGGGATTTATGCCTGTTAGGTAACAGCTCCAGGGCCCTGAACATGTATTTAAAAGTAGCTTATTAAAGGGCAGTGAGATAGTTTAGTGGATAAATGTACTTGCTACCAAGCCTAAAAGATGACCTGCGTTTGATCCCTGGAACTTACATGGTAGAAGGAGAAATCCCCTTCTGACCCCACACCCATGCCCCCCCCCACATACACACACATACCACCTACACACACACACACCACACACACACACTGTGGCACATGCCTATGCTTGTGTGTCTATATAGACACAATAAGTAAATAAGTGTCATAACAGTAGGTTATTAAATAAACAAACTTCCTTATAATTAAAGTGATAATTAAATATATATTCTCGAAGCTTGCCTTTATTGTTACTTTGAGCCCTTAAACAAAGAAAATCGTGACCGTTTGCTCTTGTATTCATTTGCTTATTTGTTTATTTTTAGGAAATTCATGCAAATGAAAAGGAAGTAACAGAGAAGGAAGTCACTCTTCACTTGTTGCCAGGTAACGTTCATGTTGGCATCACATCTCACATACATAGTTCAGGGTCAAAGATAGATTACATCATCCTTAGTGTTGTTATTATAAGCTCTTTTGTTTTCATCCTCTGGCACACACATAACAGTGATGGTGTATCATAACAAAGATGTCAAGGTCTTCAGTAACTACACACCTGGCTCAGAGTGTTACAACATTTGGAAAGAATTTTCCTTGTTTCCCTTCCCTTTAACCTGATGGGAATGAATGGGAAATACACACTTCTTTCACAATGAGTGAACCCTTTCTGAGGGTCTCCTACTTGGTTGTGTCTGGTGTTTCTGGTCTCCAATCAAGGAAATCCTAATCCCTGGAAGAATCCTATAGTCTGCATGTTCTTCCTGCTGCTTGGACCTCCCAGGGCTGGTGGAGGGGGAGGGCTCACATATCTGTCTGCTGGTGTATTTCAGCACAGAGAAACTGGGGCTACTGGGGATCTGCTCTGAAGTCATTCATTGTGAGGAGCCTGGATTGATTGTTTGTGAGACAGAGGAGAGTGGCTAACTCTCATGTTAAGTGTTCATCTCCCTCTTATGTGGAAAATGTTGCCAACTATATAAAAATAATTTCTTTTATAAGTGTTTTGTTTATTTTGAAACTAGGTTTCACACAGTTCAGGGTGGCCTAGGATTTGTGGCCCTTCTGCCTCTGTCTCCTGAATACTGGGCTCACAAATGTGCTTGCTGCATCCAGTTTCAAAAGGGTTTTGTTTTTCTTGTAATGTGTATTTTCCTGTAACGAGGATGCCTGACTTTTTTAATTCCCTCCCCCTCCCCCGGCCACCCCCCCACACACACACACACCAGGGTTTCTGTGTGTAGCCCTGGCTGTCCTGGGGCTCACCTGACTTTTTTAATTCCTTCCCCCTCCCCCGCCCCCCCCCACACCAGGGTTTCTGTGTGTAGCCCTGGCTGTCCTGGGGCTCACCTGACTTTTTTAATTCCCTCCCCCGGCCACCCCCCCCCACACACACACCAGGGTTTCTATGTGTAGCCCTGGCTGTCCTGGGGCTCACTGTGTAGACCAAGCTTGAGGATCCTTCTGTCTCTGCCTCTGCCTCCTGAGTGCTGGGATTAAAGGTTGAGCCGCACCCTCCTGTTTTTCTTTAAAGCTAGATTAAATGAATTTTTATCCAACAGAAGAATTCAAAGGTAAAGAAAGCCAGAGGGAGGCCCTGTGGGGAAGAAAATGCTGCTGCTGCTGTTGAGAAGTTGGCTGTCATATTTCCTTCGTGTCCTTCTCTTCCTGCCTCACCCAGACACCGGCAGGTGTTCTCTGCTCCTAGGGAGCAGAGGATGTTCACCAGAGCTCCAGCCCTGCTGATGTTTGGCTGTGGAGTCTGTCTTCAGGAACTGTAGCTTCTAATGTGGGCTGGGTGCCAGCAGATGGAGTGGGGGTGGGAGTGGAGGGGTGGGGAGTGGGTGACACAGCAAGAGGAAAAGCTTTGAACCAAGGAAGAGAGACTATGCTCCCCCATGACCTCCTTTTCCCTCTCCTCCTCCAACATGAGCCAGCACCTCTGTCATCTGAGAGGAAGCTACACAGACGCCCTGATTTACACAGAACCCAGGCCCTGCTGGCCAGCCTGCATGCCCCTCCTCCATTTCTCCTGTCATTACTGGGGGACACCTGCTGGGTCAAAGTAATGAAAACACCAAGATCTACACTAGAGAAGGTAGCTGAAAGCCAGGCAAAGGGAGCACAACTCAAATCCAAGCACTTGGGAGGCTGAGACAGGAGGATTACTATGAGTTAAGGCGGCCAGCCCAGGCCACATAGTGAACTCAAAGCCAGTCAGTGTAATATAGTGTGAGACCCTGTCTTCAAACAAAGGCGGGAGGAGAGGCTTGACTTAGTGAGACGTCAGAGGAGTCCCGGCAAGCAGTGTCTCTGAGCCATGGTTCTCCCTGCTGGGCCTCACTCTCTCTCCTCAGTTTACAGGTCCTGCCCCTCTGCACTGCGCTGCTGTGCTGCTATGCTGCTCTGTGTATTTGTTCTTATGTAAACAGTGAGAAAACTTAGTGCTTGCAGTTGTGTGCACCCCTGTGGCCTCTGAGGTGAGCTTATTTTGGTTTCCTTCAGGTGAACAACTGCTCTGTGAAGCCAGCACAGTCTTGAAGTATGTGCAGGAAGATTCCTGTCAGCGGGGCGTCTATGGGAGACTGGTCTGTACGGACTTCAAGATCGCCTTCTTGGGGGATGATGACTCAGCCTTGGACAATGGAGGTGTACGTATGAACTGCTCTGCTGAGTAGTAGGGAAAGTGCGCGGCTCTGACTCCAATGCTGCCCACATAGCTTCTTCCTCCTCCCAACACAAGCAAAGGACATCTCTCCCATTAGTGGCCTACTCTTGCCCTTCAGAGGCTCCTTCTACCAGGAGGACCACCTAGAAATCACCTGTGCTTCATACTCACTCGCTTGCTTTTGCCCTCCTAAGGCGACATCATCAACTTTTCCTGATTTCTTCTGAATTCAGCACAGCCTGAGTCACATGGTGGAACAACCTCTCCCATGTACAGTTCCTCATGTTTCCCTCTACTAAGCTCTTTCACAGATTTGGGGACTGAAGTCTGGAGTGCAGCCTTTGCGCTTGGATTGTTTCCGTTTGATCTGAACCTAGTTGCAGTATCATTGTGAGACTTGTTCTGCTTAGGAGGGAGTACTAGAGAGGGACAGCACTGTATCCCAGTGGGAACCTCACAGGCCCCGCCTGACCCCATGTGGCAGCTGCCCTGGACCCCTTTACTTCCTATAAAGCCGCACTGTTGTGACTCCCCAGGCTGGCCTCCTGCACCACTGGCTCTTACAGGGTGTGGCTCCTAGTCCTAAGCAAAGACAGCTTTGCCAAACACTTGATTCTCCCCTGCTTCCCTGAGCAGACTAGGTAGCTTTGTCTCTGCAGAAATGCTAACCATCACCTCTCACTTGCTTTCAGAGGAACAGTGGGTTTTCTAGGTACAGCGCATGTTCTCCCTGGATTCAAACAGTTGGTGCTCATGGAATTTTCTTGCATGTACTGCATCATCCTTTTCTTGGAGGGTGGTTTCTCTCCACGTGCAGTGGAGAACAATGATTTGCTTTGCCATGAACATCTGAGTTCATTGAAACGAGTCACACTTACTTCCTTTTGATTTGTTTCTCCTTTTTAGGAAACTCAGTTTAAGAATAAGATTGTAGGAGAAAATGATGTTCCACTTCACTGTGTGGATCAGATTTATGGAGGTGAGTGTCTCTTTCCCTTGTTGCTTTGCCTGCCTCAGAGTATGCAGCAATAATGATGATGCTCTTATAGTCTGATGGCTGTTGTGTAAAGCAGCTTGAGGAATGGTAAGTGCAGCATGGAGTGGCTCACTCAGAGTTAGGGTTAGAAGTGAGCCAAGCTAGGCTTGGGTCCTCTTCTCTCTATCTCATTCTTTTTTCTTTTATATTTGTGTGTGAGTGTATGTATTTGTATGACTATGCGTATGGAGGTCCGAGGGTAGCATGCAGGGGTTTCCACCCTGTGGGCCCTGGGGATCAAACTCAGGTCATCAGGCTTAGTGGCAAAGCCCCTTTACTGAACCATCTAAGTGACTCACCTTTTTTTTTTGAGATAGTTTTCTTTTGTTTGCTTGTTTTAATATAGCCCACTAGCCTCAAACTTATGATATTTTTGCCCCTGGCTCTTGCTCCTGCATGCTGTTTTCAGGTGTACACCATCATACCTAGCCTGAAACCTGTTTTTTCTAATATAAAATTATTCTGTTAGATGTTTGTAAACTGAGTTTCTATTCTGCCTGGTCCCACCGCATTTTAGCCCCAAATAAACACACTGACACTTATATTAATTATAGATTGTATGGCCAATGGCTCAGGCTTCTTATTGTCTAGCTCTCTCTTAGTTATTAAGCCATTTCTATTAAACTATGTATTGCCATGAGGTTGTGGCTTACCAGTAATCTGGCATGTTACTCCTTCTTCAGCTACATGGTCTCTGCCTGCTTCTCTCTGCCTTCCCCTCCCCAGATTTCTCATCTGGTAGCCCTGCCTGTATTCCCTGCCTGGCTACAAGCCATTCAGTGTTTTATTCATCAACCAATAAGAGAAACATATACAGAAGGACATCCCCTATCAGATGTTGACAGGTTATGGTTCATTGTATGCAGGTAATGGTGATATATTTGACACACATTAAATGCTTGGATGACAGTGTTCTTAGAAGACATAGTACCATGTTTAGTGAGTATACACAATGAAAATTAAAGAAATAACTTTAGCTGTGTTTGATAGTATACACCTTCAATCCCAGGAGGGAAAGGTAAGTGGATCTCTGAGTTTGAAGCTAGTCTGGTCTATAGAGTGAATTCCAGGACAGAAACAGAAACCTTATCTAAAAAAAGCTTGTTTGTATAACATCAGGTCTTTTCTGCTGGCTTAATAAGACTGTCCTTCCAAGTGTTGCTCTGTTTTCTGTTCTCCATTTTGGAGTTCAGGACATTTTCAGAAATTGTTTAGTCATCTGTGGTATTCTTAATACGAGTAGGTAACTGAGTGAGTCCAGGCTCTGGAGCAGGGATGGACATGTCAAGAGGGATTCTAGCCATAAATGTAGGAGTTGGTTAGCATAAAAGTATATCCCTAATATTCTCTCTCCCATCCTTTATGATCTCAACTTTCGCAGTTTTGCCGCTTTCCCCTTTTAAGTATTTATTTTTAAATTTTATGTGTGTGAGTGTTTCCCTGTATATGTGTATACCACATACATGCCTGGTGCCTGAGGAGGCCAAAGAGGGTGTTGGATCTCTTGGAACTGGAGTTACAAATGGTTGTGAACCTCCCTCCATGTGTGTGCTGGAAACCAACCTGCAAGAGCAGCAAGCAAGTGCTCTTAACCACTAAGTTTAACCCTTGGACACAAGGTTTATTTTGTGTGGGTGTGTGCGTGCTTGTGTGAGTAGAAGCCAGAAGAGGGTATTCAGTCCCCTGGAATAGGAGTTGTAGGCAGTTTTGAACAACCTACATGGATGCTGGGAACTGAACTCTGGTCCTTTGAAAGAGCAGGAAGTGCTCATAGCTGCTGAGCTGTCTCTCAGGCCCATCAGAGCTTGACTTTTTTCAGACTGTTGGAATCTGGTCTGTCCATTTGAGTCTTACTCCAGAGGAATAAAATATCCTGCTGGAAGCCTGATGTCATGGCACACAACTTTAATCCAAGCACTTTAGAGGCAGAGGCAGGTGCCTGGCCAGTCTGATCTACAAACTTAGATCTAGAATAGCCAGAACTACACAGAGAAACCCTCCCTGTCTTCAAAACAAAACAAAACAAAAAGCAAAGCAAAAGCAAACAGACCAAAAAACCAAAACCCAAAAACAAAACAACTAGATGAAAAAACTAAAAACAATCAAAAAATACTTTTGAGAGGGACTTCTGACCTTAGAAACTAACAGTCTACCTTTTCCTTTAGTGTTAATTTGTTGCCATGTAATATTCATTTCTACTCATGATTTTGTCATTGATCTGTAGTATTTGATGAGAAAAAAAAACCTCTGTTTGGACAACTGAAGAAATACCCCGAGAAGCTTGTTATTCACTGCAAAGATCTGCGGGTGCTACACTTTTGTCTGAGGTACACAAAGGAAGAGGAAGTCAAAAGGGTAACTAGTTGCATGTGTTTTTAGGTTTATTTCCTATCAGGTTTCCCCTAACTGTAGGTTTTGCCTGTATTGCCTGAAGGTGGAAGGGAGTGTTTGCACTCTGTGAAACTGAAGTCAGCTGTAATCTCACTCTTGGTTTGATGAGAGAGACAGAGAGAGAGAGAGAGAGAGAGAGAGAGTTGGGATAAGCATGAATGTTCTGACTTGGCATGTATTACCATGAGTCCTTCAATTCATAGTGCCAGTTACCGAGAACTACTAAAGGGTGGGAGGTTGATGAGTAAGAGCTCAGTGTCTGCTTGGGGTTAGGGAGGAAAGGACAACTAAGGTTGGTCCTTCCCACATAGTAAGTCTAACACAGGAGTGCCATCTTCTGATTCCTGAGAATCTGGGTGTTTACCTTTACGAAATAGCAGTTGTTCCATGAGCAAAGTTAGGTTACTAAGTACACCTGTAAAGATTAAGCATCATTTCATAGTGGACACATCAAGCTGCAGTCAGGAAATGCTGTACTAGTTTTCTGCGATTCATTATAATCTCCAAGGTTTTTCTTGCTGAGACAGTGACGATCTCTAACTCACTTCATGGTGTTCAATAAGAAGCCAGTTTGCTGATACTGTCTTAGCTGTAATTAGGACAATTATCATGGAATTATGGGTAATGCCCTAATTTTTTCTTGAGATAGTGTGGTAGTTCAGTTAGAGTAGTAAATGTTATTGTAGTATCTATTCTGAGCAGGCAAAGAAAGCTGTAGATAGAGAAAATTCCCCGAGAAACAAAGCATTTCCTTTTGAACAGTTATTTTAGTCATTTATCCAAACATGCTTCTGATTAGTTCAATAGCCAGAAAGCTCAGTGACAGATTTCTTTTCCTTTCTTTCGTATTGAGACAAGGTCTTACATAGTCCAGCTGCCTTGAATGCTCTCTGTAGCCGGGAATGACCTTGGAGCTTTGCTCCTCCTCCCTCTACCTCCTGAGTATTGGGACTGTAAGCATGTGCTTGCTACTTGGACTTTGTGTGTGTTAGGCAAGCATACTGCTGACATAACTACATGCCTAGCCCCTTCCTTCATTGTCTAGAGTACCCACAAGTGAGTTCACTAAGTGTCTTCTTATTGTCTGTTATCAGTTGTGAATCTTCGACATGTTGGATATTTGGACCTGACCTAATTGGGCAGTTGAGATGTTTAACTCTTGGTTCAGGGAAATTAGACTGTGTTTTAAATTTTCCCTAGAAATCCAGAAGTCTTAGAAAGCATGACAAAACAGTATTTTGTTGCCTTGGCACTATTCTAAGAGCTAACTCATAGATCCAAGTTCAGCAAGGGTTGTGTTGACCCCAGAGCCCACTAGTGTGATAGAAAACAGAGTTGGCTACCTTTCTTAGCCTTGATCTATCAGAAGTATAACAGTATCCATTGGTCTTTTCTTCTCTAGATTGTCTGTGGCATAATCCATCATACCCAATCTCCTAAACTGCTGAAAAGACTGTTTCTGTTTTCCTATGCAGCTGCAGTGCACAGCACAGGTAAGTTCTTCCTATTCATTTTTGGTTTTGTCTCTCTTTAGCCCAAGGTGATCTCAAACTCAGGAACTTCCTGCCTTGTCTCCTGAATGCTGGGATTCCCAGTAAGTGTTCCCATCCCCTAAGGTTCCTTCTATTCTCACCTATAAAATAGAGGGGAAACATTTAGTGAGTTTGTATTGCTATGACCAAATAGTTGTCAGAAAAGGAAAGATTTATTTTGGTTCACCGTTTAAGAGGGTTTACTCCATGGTTGCTTGGCCCATGTGCCTGTCTGTGGATGGGTAGGTTGTTCACCTCTTGGAAAAGGACAGGAAATAGAAAAGAAAGGAACTGGAAACCAGATATAACTTTCAAAGACACATCCCAGTGACCTGCTTCCTCCGGGAATGCCCGATCTCTCAAAGTGTCTGCATCCTCCCTTTTTTTAGTTAGGTTACTAATGCTGTGATGAAACATCATGACCAAAAATCAAGCTAGGGAGGAAAGAGTTTATTTGGCTTACACTTCTACATTGTATTCATCATTGAAGGAAATCAGGACAGGAACTCAAGCAGGGCAGGATCCTGGTGGCAGGATGTGATTCAGAGGCCATGAAGAGGTGGTGCTTACTGGCTTGCCCCTCATGCCTTGTTCAGCCTGCTTTCTTAATAGAACACAAGACCACCAGCCCAGGGATGGCGGTGCCCACAATGGGATGGACTCTCCCTATCAATCACTAACTAAGAAAATGCCTTCCAGCCTGATCTTATGGAGGCATTTTATCAACTGAGATTCCCTCCTTTCAGAGGAATGTAGCTTGTGTCAAGTTGACATAAAATTATCCAGGACATTTCCCAATTGACAACATGCATTTGAAATCACGCATCCAATACATTGATTCATTTGGGAGTTTTTTCTTTTCCTGTGATCTTAATTTTTAGGTCCGTTTGCTTTCATGTTGCAATGAATTGTTTACATGGTTCCTTATAAAAAGTAAAATCAGGGACTAGAGAGATGGCTTGGTGGGCAGGCATGAGGACTTGAGTTTGAATCCCTGGTATCCATGTGCAAGACAGGTGCATGTCTGGAACCTAGTGCCGGTAGCAGAAACAGGTAGATTGTGGGAGCTTTCTGGGTAGCCAGTCAAGCCAAAAAAGGGAGGTCTAGGTTTAGTGAGGGACCCTGCCCCCAAAATAAGTCAGAAAGCAGTATGAAGATATCTGGCGTCAACCTCTGGAGCCCACATGAGTATGTATAGGCGAGTGCATATACACACAGGCGGACTTTAATTCTTATGAATTAAAAAAGAAATCTAAAATCAATGTTGTATTGGAAATATGAAACTATTGAAAAAAACAATTGAGACAAAATTTAAAATAGCCCTATTTGTCTCTGGGTTCTTTTTTTCTACATAAATATACTTGAGTGTAAGATTCAGGAGGATGTATTTAAAGTTTGAAATAAAGAGAAAATAATATATAGATTTTGGACACATGACATTTGTTCATAAGAAAAGCACTCCTGTAGTTTGGCTTGGTAAGAGAAAACATGCCAGGCCTACCAGTGCACATATAGTGTATATCTGGGGGAGGTGAGATGAATATTATTTAAAATTCTGAGTGTTTTCTACATGGTAGGGGGAGAAAACTCGAGTCCTCTGGGCTTGCTTGTGGTTCCACATTCGTGTGCACACACATACAAAACACATGTGTAAATGTAATTTACAGCAAGCAGAACAGTGTCCATCACGGATGTGTTTTCAGTGTTTGTCATCTCCCCTCACTTCTCTCTCCTTTGTGTGTCTGCTCTGCCCATGATTCTCCACATTAGTGGGTGCTTAGTGGCTCCCATGTCAGAGATGTCTGGCTTGTTTAAGGGCACAGACATAGAAAACTTTTGGAGCTTGCCAACCACTCATTTAGTAAACATCTATTGAGTGCTTGCTGTGGGCCTGACTCTGTGGAAGGTAGGAGTAAACAGGACTCAGGAATGTAAGATTGATGTGATCTGTGAAGAAGTTCCCTTTCTTGGGCAGAGGCGGCTGTTTGAAGGAGTGAGCTACACCCCAGCCAGAAGTGTGGCTGGTAGCAGCATGTGGTAGACTTGTAGATGTGCAGATTTCAGAGAGAATGCCACACTCTGTGATTTAGATGAAAGGATAAAGATTTTGGTGTCATTCTTCAAGCACTGTGTATTTAATTATTTATTTGTTTGTTTGTTTGTTTGTTGTTTGGGGGGGTCTGCCACCCAGCTCCTGAATAAATACATGGAGACTTATTCTTATGAATGCCTAGCCTTAGCTTGGCTTGTTTCTAGCCAGCTTTTCCACTTTAAATTACCCTGTTTCTCTTTAACTAGGTTTACTTCTGGGCTTAACCTTTCTTTATTCTATATATCTTTTTCCTTCTGACTGTGTGTGGCTGGCCCCTGGTGTCCTCTCCTTTTCTCACTCCTACCCCTTTCTTAAGCCTAGATTTCTCCTTCTATTTATTCTGTCTGCATGCTAGCCCTGCCTCTCCTTCCTTCTGCCTGGCTATTGGCCATTCAGCTCTTTATTAAACCAATCAGGTATTTTAAACAGGCAAAGTAACACAGCTTTACCAAGTCAAACAAATGCAACATAAAAGAATGAAAGATATTTTTGTATCATTAAACATATATTCCACAGCATAAATGAATGTAACACATTTAAGCTGATATTCTACAACAGCACTGTCTGCATTTTGTCCCCTTTTATTTCTTTTCCTTTTTGTTTGCTTTTGCTTTTGGTTTTGTTTGTTTGTTGAGACAGGGTCTCCAGTTCCAGGTAGCCTGGAACTCACCAAGCAGGCTAGGCTAGGTGGCCAGCAAGCCCCTTCCACCCTTTCCAGTGCCCAACGCTAGGATTACAAGTACATGTCATCACACCTGGCTTTTTTATTTTTTAATGTATGCTGTGCGGATCATACTCATGTCCTTTTACTTGTAAGGAAGGTATTTTACCAATTGGACGATCTCCCCAGCCTGTGTATTTTGTTTTTCCTGATTTCTTCGATTACCTACTGGCCACTGGAGTGTATTGTCTAGTCTCTGAGTGTTTGTAGTTTTTGTTGATTTCTAGTTTTATTCACTATGATTTGATGAAGAACACAAACAATCTCAATTTTTTTGTACTTGCTTTGCAGCCTAGATTTTAGAGGACAATTCATGGACTCTGGGAATAAAGTGTGTTCTTTTTTTTATCAGGTAGGACATCCTATAGATATCTGTTAGATCTACTTGATTTAGGATGTAGTTTAACTCTGTGGTTTCCTTATCCTATTTTAGTTTGGATGACCGATCTAAAGATGAGATGGGGGTATTGAAGTAACCCTGTGTTATCAAGACCTATCAGACCTTAATGCCCATTAGTGATTGCTTTTATTTTTGAGACAGGGTTTCTCTGTGTAGCTTTGGAGCCTGTCCTAGAACTAGCTCTTGTAGAGCAGGCTAGTCTCAACTCTTGGAGATCTGCCTGCCTCTGCCTCCCAAGTGCTAGGATCAAAGGCATGCACCACCACCACCAGGCTCCATTGGTGATTGTTTTATGAAATTGAGAGCCCTAACATTGGGCACATGTATGTTTACTATTTCTATGTTGTCTTTGATGAAGTGTTCCCTTTATTACTATGTAGTGGCCTTCTTTATCTGTTCTTATTTTGGTTTCAAGTATACTTTTTCAGATAACAGAATGATTACCCCTGCTTGTTTTTGGGCTTCATTTGTTGATAGATTGATTTCTATTTAATTTTCACTCTGTGCCAGTGAGTTGTCTCCTAGAGATGGTAGGTGATTGGATCTGTTACTTTTCATTATTTTAAACTATGCAGTTATTTGTGGGTATTGCCTGAGGAGAGCAGGGGTATGAGATGTCTCTGGAGCTGGAGTTGTAGGTGTTTGTGAGCCGTCGACAAGGGTGATGGATATGGCTCCTTTGGAAGAACAGTACTTGCTCTTAATCGCCTTGCTAGTCTCTGGAGCTGGTTTTTGAAAAGTTTGTTTGTGAATTGGGAGAGACCATTTACACTTAAGGCTAATATTGAGAGATATTTACCAAGTCTAGTGATTTGATTGGTTGTTTTTCTGGTTGAATGGATTATTGTTTGGTGGGTCTTTTTTTTTGTTGGAAGTATAGGGGTTTGCTAGTTTAGTATGTTGGCTGTGATAGATTTTTTTCTTAGTTCTTTGTTTATGATCACTGGTATGAAGTTCATTCTTTATGCACTATTATGATTTTAACTTGATGCTGGCTGTATGGTCATGAACTGCCTTAGTTTGTTCTTATCTAGAAATATCCTTATTTCTTTGTCAATTCTAAAAGATAGATTTGCTGTTTTTAGCAGTTTAGGTTGGTAATTATTTACTGTCAGGTCTTGAAGTATATTATTGTTCCATGCTTTTCTGAATTTTAGGGTTGCTGATGTTAATTTGATTGCTGGCCTTTGTTGGTGAATTGGCATTTTCCCCTTAGAGCTTTTAATAATGTTTTATTCTGTGTCTGTCTGTATAAATTTTTGAGACCCAGTCTCATTATAGTCCAGCCTGGCCTGCCCTGGAACTCACTCTGTAGCCCAAAGGCAGCCTCAGACTAATGGGTGATCCTGTTTTAACCTCTCAGATGTTGGAATTATAGATGCTAACAATTATACCTAACTGGTTGGGGTTTTTGTTTGTTTTTTTCTTTTTCTGCTTTTGTTAGTTATTGTTGTGTGGATTTTGTGTGTCGGTGTTCTGTATGTAGATGCACATACATGTCCCAGCCAGTGGTTGATATTGGGTATCTTCTACATGTCCTCTCCACTTTATTTTTTGAGACATGGTTTCTCACTGAACCTAGAGCTTTTTGACTGAGCCAACTGGCTGTTGATGCACCTATCTTTGCTAGCCTGCTTTCCCTTGTTGCTGGGGTTGCAGATGTGTGCTGCTGTGCCTAGCTTTTTTGTTTGTTTTTTGCTTTTTGAGGCAGGGCTCTATATGTAGTCATTGCTGTTGTGGAGACGAGGCTGGCCTCAAACTCACAGAGATCTCCCTGCCTCTGCTGGGATTAAAGTCAGGGGCCACATTATACCCAGCCCAGCTTTTAAGTAGGTTCAAGGATCCAAACTCATGCTTGTATACCAAGCATTTAACCCACTGAGCCATCTTCCTATCTTCTGCTTTGTATTTCTGACATCTTGACTATAATATATTGTAGAGATGGTCTTCCTTGGTGATGTCTATTTAGGGTTCTAAATGTCTTGTATGTCTATGTTTTCTCATTTTAAAAACAGCAGTGTCATCACCTCTCCTGTGAAGATTATTAAGCATTAAATTCATGATATATAAGATGCAATCATTAAATGAGAGCTAATTGAGAATAAAAGTGCCTGTTATCTGGGCATGGTGGTACACAACTATATGCAGTGCTTGGAGGCAAAGGCAGGTGAATCTCTCTTGAGTTCAGTGCCAACCTGATTTAGGTTTCAGGGGCAGGCCAGTGAGGGCTACATACAGAGACCTTGTTTCAAAGAAAAGAAAAGATACCTATCATGCATTGTGGGCTATGCATGAGAATTATGGTTCACATTAATAATTACTAAGCTAGATGGAAATAGGTCCCTGTAGTTCATCTTTGTTACAGACAGATCTTTGTATTGTAGCTATACTGTTGTAACAGTATGGTAGGCATAAAATGGCTTTTTGTTGTTGTTTTTATTACTACAGTTTATATAAAAATCTTTTGGACTCATACTTGAAAAATAATCATTTTTGTGTTTAGAAATTTTGCCTCTTTTTATTCTGTAGTGTTTTCTTTTGGCTTAGTGGCTGCATGTGAATATCCTGAAAATTTTAACTTCTATCATGTATCCTATGGCCCTGCAGTCAGCACCCTGTCACTCATACTGGGGTGCTCAGACTTCTGGTCCTGCCAGCACCAGCTAGGCTATGACCACCAAATGTAGATTTTTAACTAAGTCTTTGCTATTCTATTTACCGCTAAAGACTTGGCAGTCAGATGTTGGGGTGAAACCCTGCTAGATAAGAGAAGCTGAGAAGCAACTATCTGACCTCCCTTTTTTGTTGGCTGGAGACCCTTCAAGAGAGCATCTATCCACCTGTCCCAAACCAAAAAGATTGAGAATCTCTAAGTCCCTCCCTCCCTCCTTCCTGCATGTATCTATCCATATTCCTGGCTCCTCTGTTCTCATATGGCTAATTCATGTTAACTAGTTGCTGGCTTTGCTCCCAATCCAAGGTTAATTTTAATTTTATTAACAGTCATGGAGTTTCACAATGCAACCAAATAGCCTACAACAATTCTGATTCTTTCTTGGATGTTGGTGTGTAGTTTAGGCAGTGTTGACTAGCTACATATAAGCATCTTTTGGATTCACATTAGAAAACTCACACTTCAGTTTTATGAATTATATTTCTTCCATAGATCCTGACGATAAAAAAAAAAAAAAAGTGTTAAAGACAGGTCTCACTATGTAACTCTGGCTGGCCTGGAACTCACTATGTACAAAAGGCAGGCCTCTCTGTCTCCTTGAGTGCTGATATTAAGGTCTGTACCATTGATTCTGATGTTTTGGTCTGGGACTTGCTAGGACAGTTTCTGGGCTTGCCAACACATGCTCAGTGTTCTAAGCACTTACCTTTCAGACCTTGGCAGTTTCATGATCCTTGGTGAGTTTTCTGTTTGTCTTTGATTTTTGTGTTGTTTTGTACCAGGTACCCAAGTGTATAGAACCTTTATTCTATTGTAATTCCACCCTTCTCTTATCTTCTTTCTAACCTTCATTGAGGAATAGGGTAGTAAAGATTATAACTCTAATTGGCCATTAGTCTTTGTTTTGTTTTGGTTTTTGTTACAGGGTTTCTCTGTGTAGTCCTAGCTATCCTGGAACTCACTTTGTACACCAGACTAGCCTTGAACACAGAGATCCAGCTGCCTCTACCTTCTCAGTGCTGAGATTAAAGGTGTGCAATACCGTTGCCTGGTGGCCATTAGTTTTTTGAGTATGGGATCCTTGTGTCTCTACTTCCTTGTTGCTAGGAATATAAGCATCTGCCTGGACCAAACCTTTGTCTTTACGCTTGAAAGTCAAACACATTATTGACTGAGCTTTCTCCCTCAGCCTAGTAGTTTTATGATGGTTAGATAGATACGGTATCTGTTTGTCTATGGTGTTATTTGAGGCAGGTTCCCAATATGTAGCTCAGACTGCCCTCAAACTCAAGGTCTTACTTTAGCTTCTAAATGTTGACACACTGTAGACATCAGTACTGTTCCTATCTTATGTATCTTTTTAGATTTATTGATTCTTATGTATGTGATAGCTTGCTTACATGAATGCATGTACGACTTGTGGGCTTGTTACCTGTTGTGGCCAGAAGAGAACCTTGAATCTCCCGAGACTGGAGCTTGAGGCAGTTAGGAGCTGCTATGTGGGTGCTAGAAACTGAGCCCTGGTAGTCTGGAGGAATAGCCAGTGCTTATAACCACAGAGCACTTTCTATGCCACTTACACTCTTTTTTTTTTCCCCTGTGGGGCCCTGACTGTCCTGGAACTCACTCTGTAGTCCAGGCTAGCCTCAAACTCAGAGATCTACCTGTCTTTGTCTCCCAAGTGCTGGGATTAAAGGCATGAGCCACCACTGCCTGGTTATAGAATATAATGTGCCTGTGTTTTGACTGTGACATGAGGTCAGTTGTGGAATTTCCCACTTGGTAGTCAAGAAGTTTCAGATTTTCTTTTATATTTTTGATTAGGCATATTCAATTTATGTAAACATTTATTATCGTCATTGTTCTAATTTTGTTTTCTTTACTATATTTTTGTTTTCTTTAATAGAAGCAGGTGGGGTGGTTTTAGCAAACACTTGCTTTTTTTCTGGGAAGCTTGTGTTTTTATGTGCATGTCGCTTCCAGCAATCAGTGATGACCTGGAGAAAGGCCATAGCCATTTCTGCTGAGCTTTGGGCAGTGCTTTTAGACATTTTGTTCTAACAGTGCTGATTTAGTATCCAAAGTTCCTGTCACAATGATGCAGGCCTTGGCCATTGGCCATTTCCTCCACTGTGACTCTTTCATCTGTTAATGGCCTTCAGTAACTGAGTGCCATCCTGGACAGGCCTCTCACAGGCAAAGCATCACACTGAAGAAGGATTTACATTCCAGAATGCTATTTGAATCAGTGTGCCATGTTATACACATGTGGTAGGGCTAAAAATACTTCACTTTTTAGCTTTTGTGCCAAACCCATCTTTTAGTGCTTCACAGAATTTTTGTTTTATATAAATTATCTCATGGACAGATGACTGAAAATAGAGCTAGAAATTACTTTCGCAAGGAATGGAACAAGAATAATCTATTGGGGCTGGACGGATGGCTTAGCAACTAAGAATACATGCTGCTCTTCCTGAGGACCCAAGTTCAGTTCAGTTGGGTGGCTCACAACTGTCTGTAACTCCAGCTACAGGGGATCAAGCACCATTTACAGGACTCCACAATTTCCCATACACTCTTCCCATACAGAAACAGATACACATAAAATAATAAAAATAAAACTCCCTTCCTGCACTGTAAAGAGAGCATGGACCACTGGGAGGACTCAGTAGGTAGATATGCTTGCCTCCAGACCTGACAACTGAGCTTTGTCCCCCAGAACCCACATGGTGGGAGGGGAGCTGACTCCTGCTTGTTGTCCTCACACCAACATATGTGCACTCTGACAGGCATGCTATGATCCCTCCTCCTACACAAAGTAAATAATGTAATGACAATTTCAGTAAAGATTCCATTACAGTTTTTGGATTAATGATAGAAAAATGGAGAAAAGTGGAACAGTTAAGCTGTGGATTTATCCTTCTTGGATAAAAATAGACTCAGTATAATGAATTGGGTTCAGAGCTTGTGTGTCTACGTGAACAAAATATCAGTGTCATGCAAAGACTTCACTGCATGCTAATTTTGTTTTCTTAGCCACTGATCCCAGGAACCATACTGTAATGTTTGACACACCTAAAGACTGGTCTTGGGAGCTGGAGCGGACTAAGGGTAGTGTGAAGTACAAAACAGTGCGTGTAAATGAAGGCTACAGAATCTGTGACAGGTAAGCTCTCCATGTTGGCTCTCAACATTAGTCATGTGTATATGTGTGTGGGTATGTGCATATGCGTCTGTGGGTGCCCTTGGAGGCCAGAAGAGGGCCTCAAATCATATATTAGGGTTCTCTGAAGAAGCAAATCTAAACACACACACACGATTTATTAGATTGGCTTATGGGGTGTTGTCTGGGTAGTCCAACAATGGCTGCCTCATATTAGAGAAGTTGAGAATCCAGCAATTGTTTAGTCAACAAGACTGGCTGTCTCAGTAGTCCCAGCCTAGCACTAAAGGACTGGAGGATTCCTGGAGAGCTGCTGATCTTTGGTCTATGTTAAACTCTTGAAGAAGTTGGTTCTGATACCAGCTAAGGAATACCACAGCAGTAGATAGATGATCTTGTCAGCAAAAGTGAAGGCAAGCAGGCAAAAAAAAAGTGTGTGTGGGGGTGTGTGTCTTCTTCCTTGTCCTTTTGTCCAGGCTTCTACTAGAAGGTGCTGTTCATGTTTAGTGTGGTTTCTTACTTCAAATGTGATGAATAAAATTCCTCACAGGAGTACCCAGAAGCTTGTGTTTTTGTTGGTGTTGATATAGTCAAGTTGACAACCAAGATGAGCTATCACAGATCCCACAGAGTCTGTGAGCAGTTGATGAAGTGGGTGCTGTGAACTGAACCCCTGTAAAGAAATGTATGTGCCTTTAACCCCAGTGCTGGGGAGGTGAAGACAGGATGATCCCTGGGGCTTGCTGGCTAGTCCTTGTAGCCAGTTGGTTAGCTCCAGGTTCAGGGATAGACCTATCTGAAAAAAAGATGGCTTAGCGGGTAAAACTGATTGCTGCATGATCCTAAGCTTGTTTCTCAGAACCTCTAGTAGAAGTAGAGAGCTGACTCCTGAAGATTGCCCCTGACCACACATGCACTCACACACCAGACACACAATAATACATAGAAAAATTCAAGGTAGAGAGAAAGGGCACTTGCCTGTTGTGTGTGAAGCCCCAGGTTCAATGACCAGCATCAGAAAGAAAACTGGAGAAACAGGTCAGGCAAAAGGTCAGAAGAGCTGGAGGCGTGGACAAGTGGCCAGGAAGAAGTAAGTAGCCTTTGGAAAGCAGAGGGAAGGGAAGACAGAGGAGCCCAGGGATTGGAGAGAAGCAAGCCAGGGTAAAGGGAGTAGAGGGCAAAGAAAAGGAATGGTTGGATGCTTTCCAGAACAATTTCTCTTTTTGAATCCGAGAACAATGAGGGGAGTTTGCGCAGAGAAAGGCAGGGAATGATCTGGCCTACATTTTTAAAGGATGACTCTGTGGATCTGTTTTTAGAAATTCGAGTCTTATCATTTGGGAACATAGCTTCCTAGCACTCTGCTGACAGCCGCATAAAATACTGTGGGTTTATAGCGCTTTTTATATCTGAGTGTTTCAGATGACCCCACTCCCCCAGTTGGTCTGGGTAAGAATGAGAAACTACATTGTCAGAACTGGCTGCTCAGGTGCCACAGGCCTATTGCTTTCTTTTTCACTTCACTCCTAGAATCCTTACTTCACTCTCCTTCCTTGTGGAGGTACAAGAAGGTATGTAGCCCATGGGGTATGTTCTTCACAGAGGGGCCCATGAGCTAATGCTGACACAGCAAGATGTAGCTCTGCCTGGGCTTAACTTCCCCAGACTATAGCTGTGTCTGAGTGGGTCACCCAGCTTCCCACGACTGAAGCTGCCCTGAGAATGGCTCTTTTCTCTGAACTCATCCCACTGCCTAAAGTGACAGTTACTGAGGAGAGAGACTGCCCGTGGGACAGGGCAGAACACCCTCCACCCTTTGCCTGGTGTGGTGCTTTCCTCGCTGCCCAGGGACAGAAGCTGAAATTAACCAGGGAGCTAACATTGTAGAATGCTGGGGAAGACATGCAAGCCTTTCAGAACAGGGGGACACGAAGACTCCCCAGAGAGCTCCTGAGATGGGGTTACAGTGGTGATCTGTGGGGAAGTTACTGGCCAGTCAGTGCTTCCCACAGTTAGTTAGGAACCTCAGTCACCCAGGAACTTGTCAGAATTCGGGTGCTGACTGAGCAGGTGGGGTGGGGCTGAGTCTGTATTCTGAGCTCAGGTGATACTGCCACACACCCCAATAGCTCAGGTGATGCTGCTGTACCCCGCCCCACCCCCTCCCATAGCTTGAAGTCCCAGAGCAGCAGCTTTAATCCCCACTGTATTCCCCTAGAGCTTTGCACTTCTGCTCTGGAATGACGGGGTCAAGCCTGGATTTTGGTAATTTTCTAATCCTTCCCTGTGCTTTTAATGGGCATATTGAACTTTAAAACTATTGATATGTGAAAATGTTATTACTTTAGTGATTATCCCTAAAGAGAAATTAACTTACTGTCCACACAGGCAGGTACCTAAGAAAATCTGAGTTCTTCAGAAGTTAGAGCCTTAAGACTCACTGAATTGCCAGGCTGTGGTGCACATGCCTTAATTCCAGCACTCAGAAGGCAGAGACAGGCAGATCTCTGTGAGTTTGAGTCCAGCCTGGTCTAGAGAGTGAGTTGCGGGACATTCTCCAAAATTACACAGAGAAACCTTGTCTCAACATACCCCCCTTCCCCAAAAGACACACACACAAAACCCTTACCGACTTGAAGGCCTTAGCCATCACCAGTGGTTCATAGATATGGATATAGAACACAGTCTCATAGGATCTTTGTCCTTTAAAAATTGTCTGTAAGGGGGCTGGAGAGATGACTCAGTGGTTAAGAGTACTTCCTGCTCTTCTAGAGGACCCCAATGTAGTGTTCTGTTTCTGTGTCTGGCTGCTTACAACTGCCTATTACTTTAGCCCTCTCCTCTTCTGGCCAGCAGCACCCAGACACACACACATATACACGCACGCACGCACGCACGCACGCACGCACACACACTTAAAATGATTAATAAGGTTTATTATACAAATTTTGAAGCAATATAGAAAAAGTGTATGTCGGATTTCCTTTTATCCATTACCCAGGTGTAACAATGAATAATTATAGCTAACCCTGTTTTCTCTGTACCCCACCTACTTGTCTCCCCTTTGGATTGCTTAGAAATGAATTTCAAAGTTCATTTCCTATATGATTCATATATATTACAAAGAGCAAAGGTCTGGGATTGTTTTTAATAAACACAACAATGAAACCATTATCATACTTTCCAAATTCATACCACTTTTGTGTTTTGTTTTGTTTTCTGAGACTGTGTCTCCCTGTGAAGCACTTGCCCTGGAACTTGCTAGACCTCAAACTCAGAGATCTGCCTATCTTTGCCTCCCAAATTCTGTAGTTAAAGGAATTAAAGGAATTAAAGGAATGTGTTATGCCCAGCCTCACGTTATTTCTTTGATATCTAATTAGTATTTAAAAATTTCCTCATGATTTGGTTTGGCTTGGGGGTGGAGAGAAGTTTTTTGTTTTATGTGTGTGTCTGTTTTGAGATAGAATTTCACCATATATCCCAGGCTGGCCACCCAACTGCCAAGATTATAGGAGTGTGTCACCAATTCTTAACTCATTTTTGAAAAATTTCTCTTTCATCCTTTTTGTTTGTTTGTTTTGGGTGTTTTGTTTGTTTTGTTTTGTTTTTTGTTTTTGTAGCCCTGGATGTCCTGGAATTCACTCCATAGACCAGACTGTCCTCAAACTCACAGAGATCTACCAGCCTCTGCCTCTGCCTCTGCTCCTGCCTCCTGAGTGCTGGCATTAAAGGGTGCACCATCACTGCCTGGTTTTCTTTCATCTTTTTAATCTTACTATTAATGATTCAGAGTAGCATTTTGCCATTTCTTGATGGGTTTCTTAAGTTGCTTTATGTGTGGATTCTCAAACCATCATATTTTTCTTGAAATCAAGCTGTTTGCTGATTGCTTCCCACAATGTGGTGTTTGATGACCAGGTCCCTGGTGATAGTTTGGTTTTTTAGTCTACCTTCTGTAGATTGACGGATAGAACAGTTGTTTGTGTTTGTACTTTAAAGGTCCATCTTTCCATGAGGCTTGGGGAGGATGGCAGAGAGGATAAGACTACTTTCTGTTCTTGCAGAGCACTGGGGTTTGAGTCCTAGCACCCACATGGTGGCTCACACCTGTCTGTAACTCCAGTTCTGGAGAATCCAATACCCACTTCTGGCTTTTGAGGTCACTTTCATGGACATGGTGCATAGATATAAACTTAGGTACACATGCCTACACATAAAAATTTCTTTTCTGAATTTTTTCCCCCCTTGATTTGATGCTTATCAGATAGAGGTCAAGCTTGCAGTGGGTCTGTAAACACCTCTGTTTACATCTGTGCAACTTAGTTGCTCAGGCGCCTTCTGTCTCTATAGGCTTTATTTCAAACTCTTTGAGGGAGAGGTGTTTACAGCTCTGTAGGGTCTGTAAACTAGGAACCTATAAGCTAGGGTCTGTAAACAAGGTCTCTTGACTAGGAGCCAATGTGCCCATGTATTTTTGATCTCTCTGAAAAATTCAGCTTCCCTATGTCCTACAGTTCAGCAGGTTTTTCTTGTAGAGATGAAATTTCTCCTGTAGATCACTGAAATCACAGTGGCTCCAGGTCTTTGGCATAATCCAGGAAGAGCCTCAATCAGTGTGGTGTCTCAGTTTCTTAGCTTCTTTATTTATAAAATGACAATAATCATACTACATATCTGTTAGAGTTTTGGATTAAATGAGTCACTTAGGTGATGAATTAGAGCAATATCCCACACAGAGGAGCACACCTCAAATGTCTGTTGGCAGAACTTGTTTGTTTATTCAAGACAAGAGTATTTATCATGTAGTTCTGTCTGTCTATTGGAACTCAGAACATAGACCAAGATGGCCTTAACTGAGACCCGGTCTTAAACTCATTGAGATGTAACCTCCCAAGTGCTGGGATTGAAGTCATGTGCTGTCATACCCCTGTCAGAGTTTGTGATAAAATGGACCACAGTCTTCATAGTTACTGATTTTTCTATTAGTATAATTATATAAACAACACAGGTGCTTATGTTGTTACTGTTGGACGAGATTTTGGACTTCATATACTTTTAGATACAGCATTTTCCAGTCTCTACCTTTTTCAGTGCTGAAGATTAAACCAAGGGCCTTGTGCATGCTAGGCAGGGTCTCTGTTGCAGAGCTGTACCCACACCCCTCATCTCCCTTACCTCCCTCATCTTGTAGAATAGGACACAGACCCAGAAAGGCAGACCAATTTACATTCCTTGCCAGCAGAGGCAAGGCTATGCAGAGCCAAAGGCAGAGCTAGAGTTTGAGTTTGGATTCCTAATCTATTTGTCAGTGTTCTTGTCACCAACCTAGGGGTGGCAGTTCATCTCTGGTTCTTACCAGGGAAGTGTGGTCTTTTTGTAGTCATTGGTAATTCCTTGATGTGACCTTTCATGTTCTGTGAATTTGTCGAACTAAAAGCTGATTGTCTTTCCTATCACATCAGCCATCTCTCAAAAATCACAACCCTGAGACTCTTCATTAACTATGAAAGCTTGGCCTTAGCTTAGGCTTGTTTTTAACTAGCTTTTGTAACTTAAGTTAATCTATTTCTATTCATCTATGTTCTGTCACATGCTGCCCACTCTGCTTCTTCTATGTCCCCTGGTGTCTCTTGCATACCTAGATTCATCTCCTAGCTTCTCTCTCACAAGTCCCAGAAGTCCCACCTATACTTCCTGCCTAGCTATTGGCCGTTCAGCTTTTTATTCCACCAATCACAGCAAATACATCTTCACACAGTGCACAAATGCCCCACAACAGTTCCCTTTTGGGCTAAATGAAAAGGAAAGGTTTTAACTTTAACATAGTAAAACAATACAATAAGAATAATTATCAGGTAAGAATTACATTCATAATGTTCAGTCTATTTGGATTTGACAAATTCAGAGAAACTACTCTGTTACCTACCCTGTTATTGATCCAAAGTATTATACCTAAATCACTTTTTATCATAACTTGTATTCCCATACTAAAATTATCTTCTTAGGCCTAAAAACATCTTAGATAAACAACTTAAGCTTTTATGCTTCTCAGCCTTATAAACGTTTATATCTCTTATGTGAAGATATATTGCTGTATTGTAATAAAAGGCTGAATGGCCAATAGCTAAGCAGGAGGTATAGTGGGATTTCTGGGGAGTAAAAGAAAGGAGGAAGAATCTAAGCACTTAGGAGAAGTCAGGAGAAATGAAGAGGAAACAGAAGGTAATGGCACATGATACAACATACATTAATATAAATGGGTTAATTTAAGTTATAAGAGCTAGTTGAGGTAAGCCTAAGCTGAAGGCCAAGCTTTCATAATTAATAAAAGAGTCTCTCTGTTGTTATTTGGGAGCTGGCAAGTGGGACAGAAAAAGACTCAGTTACAGCTGATGCCACCTCTTTCTTCTAGGTTGCCAGCATACTTTGTTGTTCCCACTCCCCTTCTCGAAGAGGATGTGCAGCGTTTTCAGGGCCATGGCATACCAGTAAGTGCATCTGGGGCCCTGGGAGAGGGGACAGCAGCAACTCTCAGCTCAGTCATCCTAGCAGTGGTCCCTGTAAAGCCCTTAGCTCTGGTGCTCCAGGGTCTGTCTACTGTCTAAGAGAAATCTGGAAACACCACAGGGACCCCCCCTAGATCAGTCTCCTGAACACAAGACTCTCTGGGACAAGTCTAAAGTTGTCACAAATGCTCTTAACAATTTTAGCAGAGACATTGAAAAGCTTTGGGATCATAATGGGTCCACCTGCTTTAAAACTTAACTCATTTGAACCTGAGCTGGCACTACAAAGAGTAGATTTTAATTTGTTTTGGCCAGCTGTTAGTCTTGATATGGGTCTGTCAAGTTTTTTGCTAGAAACAACATGAAGCACACCTTAGTTTTCACAGAATAGGTTAGGAGCCACATTTAGTATGTCACTGATCAAATAAAGCAAGACTAGGTGACACCCCTATTTCTAATTATTGGATGGGAGTTACCCAGCTTGTGGGACTTTAGAAAGAAGTAAGAATTATAAAGAAAGTGCTGTGCAGCACACAGGCTGGTTTGCCAGAAGAATCTTTAATGTGAGCTACCATGGTGAAGCTTCATCACACATCCAGAGCCCATGGAGGCTGGACAGATATGAATGTGGCCCTTGCAGAGGGGCAAAGTCCCTCTGCCTGGCCTAGGAGTGCAGCTTTGCAGCACCAGATTGAAGCACTGTTGGCTGAGTATTGCCAAATGACCGATTCCCACCCACCCCCCAGAGGAAGCCAGAGACACAGATTTTTACGTGAGTTTTCCATACCCAACTAGATGTGGCAAAGTTGAAAAGTTTTAAAAACTTTGTCTTTGGGATATAGCAGGATCACATTTCACCAGTTTTCAGCCTGTAGGTGACAGCTGCTGTTTACATACTTACCTTTACACTCTTAAAATTAGTCTGTGGGAGAGTTTTGTTTATGTAGGTTGTGTGGTATTAGAAATTCCAGTTGAGGCTGGGCAGTGGTGGCTCGTGCCTGTAATCCCCAGCCTCAGGAGGCTGAGGCAGAAGGGTTACTCTGAGTTTGAGGATTGCATAGGCTGTAGAGTGAGACCCTGTTAAATTTTTTTTCCAAACTGAATTTTAATGAAAAAATTTAAGTAACATGTGCTAGCACAAGTAACATACTTTTATGGGAAATAATTGCCAGCTGGTTTTTTTTTTTTTTTTTATTCAGTCTGTTGTGGTATGCTGGGGATCTTAAAGAACACAGAGAAACTACAACTTCAGACATGTGTATTTGGAAAGGAAGGCACTGTTGGTAGCTGGACTGAGAATATTGTTATTTGCCAGTGTACCAGAACATGGTCTGTGACCACAGTAAGAAATTTGAAAACACAAGGAACAGTTAACTAAAATCCACCAACTGTTTTATACTTTTAATAGAATTTAGAGAAAATTTTTTTTCTATTACACATAACATAAAGCATACGGGTTCATGGTTATACATCTAAATATTGGCCCATCAATACCATCCTCTCACAAGAAGAGTAACTGGGCAGCTATTCAAGTAATGTCAGGTGCTAGTTTTCGATATTTCTAATTTTTTGCTTTATTTTTTGCTCATTTTTGTCATTGGCAACGTTTTGTATATTGCTTTCTTTGAAATGATAAGCTGTCTCTGTACTCACTTTTTACATTTTTTTCCCCATGTCCCTCCCTATTCCTTAAGTTCATGACTTCTTCTTTAATTATTGTTGTTACATATGTGTATGCATATATGTATGCACATACACCTAAATGTGTGTGTATGTATGAATGCACACACACACACACAACCCACTGAGTCCTTTAGTGTTGGTTATATGTACTGTGTTGATGGCTGACCCCTTGGAATTAGATAACCTATCAGGGATCATTGGGGATGATTCCCCCTTTCTCAGCAGCTGTAAATTGCATATAGCTCTTTATCTAGGGTAGGGGCCTTGTGAGATTTCCCCTATGCACATTGGCATGTCAACTGGTATTCTCATTATGCAGGTCTTTTTTACTCAACCATACTATTGAGGTGTCACAGTACAGCTGTTTCCCAGCAGGTGTTCTGATCCTCTGGTTCTTAAGAACTTTGCATCTTTGTAAATGTATCAGTTAGGGTTGAGCACACCAATTTCCTTCCACTTGTTTCCTGCATTTAATCAGCAGTGGATCTCAGTAATAGTTACCAACGTCTCTAAAAGGAGACTTCTTAGATTAAGGGGTGAGTGAGAGTTACACTTATCTATGGACATAAGAATAAGTATTTAGAATAAAAGTCCAATTAGATAACTGTTGGTTACCCCCAGGTGCCACAGTTGCATCACTGACACTGTCTTCTGGGCTGGTCATTTTGTGGTCTATAGGCATCACAGCTAGACAGACTGGTGGCTGTTTTTTCCATGATGGCTTGCCTAGCTCCTTCTACTATTACAAGAGCTAGTCCTCCAAAGCCTAAATATGCACATCTTTTGTTAAAGTCACTCTAAACTCAGTAGGACAGATACTTTATGGTAAATCATAGTCAAGATTATAAAATTGACCATTTACAAAATTGTATTATTAGTGAGGGCTGTGGACATGGATACTGTTGTACTTGTGTGAGGTCACAGGACAGCCTTGTGGAGTTGGTTTTCTCCTTCCACCTTGCTCATGATCTGGGGATTAAACTCTGGTCATCAGGCTTGTACAACAAGTACTTTACCCACGGAGCCATCACTTGAACCTTAAAATTAGCCATTTTTAACCTTCTGTTAAGGACATTCTCAAGTAAATTGGACTAGTTTCCTGCAAGCAGTAACTTAGTAACAAGCTGTGTAGTTGTATGGTTGTACCTGGACTGGTGCTGACTGGTACTGGACTTTGCCACTGGCAAAGTCACCACTGCTACTGCATCTCAGTGCACATGTCAGCATAGTGGAAAATGGTGGTGGTATGCAGGCCACCCACAAGGGTCTTGGGTCTCAGGACAGTGTGTGGTACACTTGGAAAAGCACATTTGCTTGAGAGGAATGAGTGAAGCTTTAGGGATGTGTATTCCCTAATCTGCCTCGGTTATATGTTCTAACATTTTCAGTGCATGGACAGCAGTGAGAAATTACACAGGCTGGAGCTCACATGTCTACCACAGGACACAGAGCAGACTATCCCCTTCCCCACTCCCCTCTCCTCTCCCCTCTCTACCTGGGCTCAAATCCAGGGCCTCTTGATGCTTGGCAGGTGCTCTGTCCCTGAACTTCTAGACCCTCTTCTGTTTATTTCTTCACTAACTCCTCAAAGATCACTGTATAATTAGTCAGGTAGTAAACAACAGGAGTTCTAATAGGTCCTTTTTGTTTTGTTTTTGGAGACAGGGTTTCTCTATATTGCTTTAGAGCCTGTCCTGGAACTAGCTCTGTAGATCAGGCTGACCTCAAACAGAGATCTACGTTTCTGCTTCCCAAGTGCTGGGACTAAAGACATGCACCACCAATGCCTGACTAATAGGTCTTAATAATAAAAGCCCAGAGTCAGATAGAGGGGCAAATGCTGAGAGATCAGAGAGATGAAGGAACAAAACCACAGCCACCTTACCTACTTAGCTTTCCAGCCAAAAAGAGACTGAGAGCTCCTGTCTTCTCTCACCTCATCATTTCCTCTCTCCATTCAGTCATATCACTTCCTGTCTGTCTATACAGACCTCCAGACCTGGTCTGGATGGTTAACTAGTGGCTAGCTTTACCCACTGATCTTCAGGCAAGCTTTATTTGTTAGAATATAAATAAGATATCACTACAGAGGCAGAGTTTTCTTGTCTGGACCACCCAGTCCCAAATAAATACACAAAAGCTTATATTGATTACAAAATGCTGGGTTGGTAGTTCAGGCTTATTATTTACTAGCTCTTACATTTCAATTAGCCCATACTTATTAACCTATGTATTACCATGTGGCTCGTGGCTTTACCTGTTTGCTAGCATCTTGCTTCCCTGGTATCTGGGTTGAGTCTCTCTGACTCCTCCCTTCTTTCCTTCCTTAGTTTGGTTTTTCTGCTTAACCTTATCCCCCTGGCTATTGGTTAGCCAGATTCTTTATTAACCAATCAGAGCATAATTTACACAGTGTACAGGAATATTCCACCGTATCAGGTCATTCCAATCCTTGCCACTTTGCTAAGTTGCTTGTATTGGTTTACTCTGAAATAAAGAGTAGTAATAAGTTGTCTATTTGTTCCTCAGAGGAGATGTGACAGTTCTGATTAAAGATTATCATTTTATCTGTCCCAACTGAAAAATAAGTTATAGCTATATATCCCCAAAGGCCCGCCATTTTTGCTCCGTATAAGCAGTTAAAATGATTAGGAGCAATTTATTTCTTGGATACTGTCATCCAATCTTGACTAAGTTTCCTCCATCTGCATCTGACAAACACTTTTCTTTTCCTTTCTGTAGATCTGGTGTTGGTCCTGCCACAATGGAAGCGCCCTTTTGAAAATGTCAGCACTGCCCAAAGAGCAAGATGATGGCGCTCTGCAGATCCAGAAGAACTTCTTGGACGGGTCAGTACTCACACTGTGCTTTCTTGTGCTCCATTTAGCCGTTGTTCTTTAAGAGGCAGGTGGTAGGATAGTTCTTCCTGTGTGTCCATTCTGCTTACCTAGCACAGTAGCTTTGTGTTGGAGGAATACCAGTAATAATACTCACTAGGAAGATCAAGATCACTGTTTTCAGAGATTCACAGAAGTATTGGGCAGGGGGTAGGGGACTGGCATCATGGCTGTAATGTTAACAGCTTTCAAATCTAAGTCAATAGGGTATATCACTGTACTGTTATTCTATTATATATGGGGTAGAAGTTTCTCAAGATAATTTTAAATTTAATTAATTAACTTTATGTATGTGGGTATTTTGCCTGGGAAGCACGTGTGCCTATTCCCTGGAACTGAAATTCTAGAAGACTGTGAGCCTCTGTGGGCAAACCTAGCTGCTGCAGAAGATCAGCTAGTGCTCTTAACCACTGGGCTATCTCCCCAGCCCCTCAAAAATAAACAAAAGGAGTAGGTTATGTCATTAAATTGCTTTGACTTAAACATGACCTCCATTTCAACATCCACTGGCCCTATGAGTGAGGATTAAGTGAGGTGATAGCTACAGGGCTCTTAACACAGATGGTGGCTTGTGGCAAGTGCTCAGGACAAACAAACTATTCACATTTATGTTTGCTCTTCTAATCTCGTGTTACTTTTTGACACCTAGAATTTACAAGACCATCCACAGGCCACCCTATGAAATTGTTAAAACTGAAGACTTATCAAGCAACTTCCTGACCCTGCAGGAAATCCAGAATGCATACTGTAAATTTAAGCAGCTGTTTCTGATAGGTAAGAACAAGTGAGATCTTTTGTCACGTGGAGAAAGCCAATGGTGGTGTGCAGCGGCTCGCTCTGAGCCCAGATCATTGACAAGCAGTGTCAGGCTATGGCAGAAGTCCAGGGTTTCAGCTGCCACTGAGACTCCTGCCCAGCACTCTAGGCTCTCAGTGTGGCCTCTGTTTTAGTGGTCACATAGCCATCTCCTGCCCCTCTCCCCACAGCATGCCAGCCTCTGTAGTGAACATTTTAGCTCCTTTCAAAGGTTTTGAGCCACTGACCTCCATAATCATTTCTAATGTGAATGATTTGTTGGTTTTCCCTGGTGGACTTTTCTCCCTTCATTGGGCATGTACAATTTCTTCCAGTGCAAAACAGTTTTGTTAATAAGATATGCAAACACATTCCAACCTCTCCAGCTCCCACCCTCCCCTTGCTACATTTGTGTTCCCTCCCATCCTATTAGTGACAATTGAAAACATGACTGACTTAGTCACACACGTTGATCTGTTGATTTTGGGTTTTCTGAAGCACAGGGTTTCTGTCTGTAGCCCTGTGTAGCTCTGGCTGTTCAGGAACTTGCTCTGTAGACCAGGCTGGCCTCAAACTGCCTCTGCCTCTGGAGTGCTGGGACTAAAGGTGTGCACCACCATGCCTAACTGAATTCTTCACATTCTTAAACCAGCCTTTTCTCTGGGTTTGTCTTGTTTAGAGATAGCTTTTCCTAACTTTGACTCCTAAGCTAAGCATACTCTCTATTTTAGGGTTTGTTCAGCTGACATTGAATTTTCATTGCATATACTAACTGCTGGTATTGTGCTAAATATGACTGACACAGAAAGGAAAAAGAAACACCACTGTATACCTTTAACCAAAACGTGATACATGTTGTAAGGTAGATTTGAAGTAGATGATTTTACTGTTTAACTCAGGACTGACAATTGTATTTTATTTCATTCACTTGGAACCCTGAGCTGTACAGCCTGGGGGCTCGTGGGTGTGGTGTGGGAGGCGTGGCCGTGGTCAATAACCTGAAGTCTCCTGGTTTTTTTCCTGTTTTTAGATAACAGTACGGAATTTTGGGACACAGATATAAAGTGGTTTTCTCTGTTAGAAAGCAGCAGCTGGCTTGATATAATCAGGTATTTCAACCCATTGTTTTGCACATGAATTGTACAGTTTTCTAATTCTGAATAGTAGAGGAATTGGCAAATACCTAGCCTGTCACAGTTAATTATTCTGAGATCATATGTTTGGTTCAGGGTTGGGCTGCACGAGGTTCTCTCCCTCCACCCCCATGGTTTCTCTCTGTGGCCCTGGTTGTCTTTCAACTCGAGATCTGAGTGCTAGGATTAAAGGTGTGTGTCACTACCACCCTCTGAGTTGGGCTGCCTTTTATGTTTTCTCTTTATCATTTCTTTGTACATTTGATAAGAATTGTGTAACACTCACCGCTTAACAAAGAAGTGCACTCTATAAGCCAGACATTCTGAGACTACAAGAAAAGCTGTGACTGTTCAAAGCCAACTGAGGCAGTAGTGCTAGCCTGTTGGTGGGTGGGGGGAACGATGATGACACATTGACCTCCAACTGCAAATTATCCTGAACTGAACTTTATGTGTATCTTGTTTGTACCTATTATTTACTTTTTTTTTTTTTTTTTAAAGAAAAATCACTGTTAATAATGTCAATGCATCATTTTGGTTTAGAATTGAATCTCAGAGAATTATATTACCTTTTCTAACCCACAGCTGTGTTGCCATTAACTAAAGGACACAGCAAAGGCAGATACAAACCAGTGCAAGAGACTAGCCCACCCCGTGCCACACCAAGGAAACACTGTTTCACCCACCTTGATGCAGCTCTCTCTTACATTCTTTTACCCTCTTTTTTTTTTTTTTTTTTTTTTTTTTAAGATAGGGTCTCTTTGTAGCCCGGGTTCACCTCAGCTGGGACTTTTCCATATTGCTGCAATGATACAGTGTCCTTTATTTACACAGCTAAATAATATTCCAACATGCACATATGTGCACACATAAATTTATTCTCTATTTGTCAGTAAACTCTTAGGTTGCTTCCATGTTTTGATTAGCATCAATAATGCTGCAGTGCATGTGGAGGTGTAGATATCTAAGATACTTCTTCTATCCCTGTAATTAGTGTGTGTGTGTGATGTGTACTCTGGTATATCCATAATGAGTAGATAGTGATTATTTCCTTGATTGTTTCCTTTTCCAGCCTTTTAACATGAATAGAGAACTGAAGAACAATTCAAACTGCCTATAAACTTGTTGTCTATAGCACAAAGCTCAAAAGCTAACGCTCTGTTTTCATATCTCCCATGTTTAGACGCTGCCTAAAGAAAGCAATAGAGATTACAGAATGCCTGGAAGCTCAGAGCATGAATGTCCTCCTCTTGGGTAAGAAAGCACATGGGTAGTTGGGGTGGTTTCCTTCAATAAGTCAGCTTTTTTTTTTTTTTTTCCCTGTCATTTTGGTTTTTGCGACAGGGTTTCTCTGTGTAACAGCTCTGGTTGTCCTGGAACTTGCTTTGTAGACCAGGCTGGCTTCAAACTCATCCACCTGCCTCTGCCTCCCAAGTGCTGGGATTAAAGGTGTGTGCCACCACCAGGCTAAGAGTAACTTTCGTATAGTAACTTTCGTATATGTAACTTATGGAGTATATTTGTTTCTTCTTCTCCCTCTTCTTTTTCCTTGGCTTGTAATCCTTTGCCCCAATTTTCACTGTTACAGTTTAAAACAAAATCCTTTCTCTTGGAACTTGGCAGGCCCACTCACAGCCCAAGAAGAAATTGTTTGGTGTCTTTACCCAGCAGTCTTTGAGATGCCCTTTTATACAGGAGATCTGCTTTTCTTGCCTGTATGCAGGCAGCCTTGTGCTTTGCCTTGGGAGATGAAGTGCTGGGCTGTGGCTTTCCTCTCCTCAGTGAGCTATTTGCTGTGCTGCAGGACCCTGTAAACTACCTGCAGCAGAGAGTACTGTGAGTGCTTAGATAGGAGCCAAAGTGTCACCAGCTCGGTAGCTCTTATCTCAGTTGTTTTCAGGAGATGAAGTCTCATTGCACTAACCAGGCTGGCTTCAAATTCCTGGGCTTAAGTGATCCTCCTGCTTTAGCTTCACCAGTATCTGGAATAACACCCAGAATTGTCCTCCAGGCTGGCCTCTGCATGTACCTGCACACAGGTGCACACTCACAGGCATACATCCATCCACAAATCTCTCTATTAATTCCATGTAGTTCTGTGTGTTTGCTGTAATTGAGTGTGAACCTGAGCTTTAGTAGTACATTGTAGTTCTAGGGCATAGGAAGACAGAGTGCTCGCACCATGAATGTCCCTCTAGTTCTCTAACCCTAACGATACAATCACCATCTTCCTTCAGGACAGTTTATAAAAGCATATGAATTGCACCCTTTTGGAAGGGGAATAGAGAGGAAGCTGTGGGAAATGTAGAACTGACTTTACTATCTTCAAACTCTAAGAAAGCATGGCTGTGGCTGTGTGTTTGCCTTTGCTCTAAGTTAGCAGTGTTAAGTCTGTGAAAGGACTTTGGCCTTGTGGGCTGAATAAAGTGCACTCCAAGTGGGCAGGCACATGGAAGAGTACCAAGGAGAATTCCTCCTGTAGGCTTGGCAAGGAGAAGCAGGCGCCTCTGTGTTCCTCAGACAGAACAGGAAAGAGCCTTGTGACTGAGCAGTCTGTGAAGAAAGGGGAGAAGGGCCTGAGGTGAATAGGCTGAGTCTAGAGCAGTGAACGGTGACTCAAGCTATCTCTCCAGGAAAGGGAAGTAGACTTCATCCACAGGCAGACAGGCCATCAGTGCATGAGTGTTGCTCCTCTCTTAAGGCACCTGTGGATGCCATGTGTGGATTTTTCAGTGTTGTGTTTGTTCAGTAAGCAGATCCCTGCTCAGCGCTACTGTGAGTTGAGCCTGTCCTAACAAGCCAGAAGTGGTTTGTCTCTCCCAAGTTGGCTGTTGTCTATAGAAAGTAACAGCAGACCTAGGTGCTGGGAACCCTGCTTTTAAGTGTGTGGATGAGAACACTGCCTCGTTGTAACACTCTGTCTTTCTCTTTGATGCTGCTGCTGGACCCTTCTAGAAGAGAACGCATCTGACCTCTGCTGCCTCCTGTCCTCACTGGTGCAAGTGATGATGGACCCCCACTGTCGAACCAGGACTGGGTTCCAGAGCCTCATCCAAAAGGAGTGGGTCATGGGTTGCCACTCCTTCTTGGATCGCTGCAACCATCTCCGACAGAGTGACAAAGAGGAAGTGAGTGTCCTCACTGCAGATTGTTGCAGTCTGGGGAGAGAGACTGCCTCTTTCCTGGTCACTGTCCTCAGATGTAGCCTTGTCAAGTCCATACTTGACAGATATCAGGAAACTGGTCAGCTCAGCTCAGATGACTTGAATGCTCTGAACAAAATGGAAATCCTTCCAAGGGCTAAGGATATCAATAAGCATGTTCAAAGTTTTGTAACTGGTGAAGAGTAAGGCTATATATGCATTTCATACTAGGAGAAACACTGGTTTTGTAACACTTATTTACAAAATAGGAAGAAAGAATCCTTCAAATCTTGCTAAATTAAACTCTGTTGTAGTTAGTGATGTGTGGTGTATAAATGTGCTACAGAAAACATACTTAACAGTAAATTTTCTTTGTGCTGGTGCCATGCTTTGCTGGAGCCTTTGCAGTGCTGGGAGAGGTGTGCTCTGAGTCACAGCCTTTTCTGTTTGATGTCATTGCTGCATTGTTTGGGTACGGAGTTTTGGTTATGTTGTCTACATTGGCTTCAAACTCAGCATTCCATCTCATCTCTGAGACCCACCAGCCAGCCAGAGAGCGTTCCCTGCTCCTCCTCAGACCTCCTTCCACAGGTCACTTCCGCCCCTGGCGCCACCCCCAATGGGCGTGGTCAGTGCCACAGAAGGAGACAAAGTGAATATCCCACTACAGTGTTGCTATCACCAAAGCTGTTATGTTAGTGCACATCCATTATGAGGTTTTAGATACTTGTCTTTGACAAGTAGGTACTGCTAACCCACGGCGAGTGGTCTCCCCTGAGAATAATTGTTACTTGGAAAGGGTTATCTGTTGTTTCCCAGAGAGGCAGGGCTCAGAAACTTCTAATGGCTGTCAATGAGCTCAGGGCAGCTCATGCTAGGCCTAGACTTCCTAAATAATGTGTGCTTTGTCTCCACATAGGTCCCAGTGTTCCTGCTTTTCTTAGACTGTGTCTGGCAGCTTGTGCACCAGCACCCTCCAGCATTTGAGTTCACAGAGACTTTCCTGACTGTTCTGTCAGATAGCTTATACATACCTATTTTCAGCACCTTCTTCTTCAATTCGCCTCATCAAAAAGATACTAACGTGGTAAGAGTCCCTTTTAGAGACCCCTATGCCAAAAAAGTTACATCTTCCAAACTTGATGCATTAAGAGTGGGCCCTAAAAGTGACATGTATTCAACATTGCTTAAGCATCAGACATTATTTCAAGTGATTGCTAGCTGTTCCTACTTGGGGCAGTATTTAATCCTTGTAGCACACTAGTTATATATTGTTATCCCTGAGGAGTCTGAAACACAATAATCATCTAGCCCAAGGTTATGTAGAGTAAATATTTAAGCTCCTCTTCATTACCTTAATACCTAGAGTTAACTCTGGGATAAGAATGGACACCAAAGTAACAGAGTTGCCAGGCTTTGGTTTTACACCTAAAAGCCCTTCTGGCTGTGCTCAGCCTGTGCCCCAGGTGGAAAGTGTCTCTGTTACTCTCCATGACTTCATCTAGGCCTCTCTTGCCTTGGGACTGACTTCAAATTGGCAGAGTGCCAAGTTGCACGAGGAAAAGGAAACAATGGAACCTGGCATCTTAGGCGCACAGCCCTGGGTTCAGCCCTGCAGCTTGCCAGCTTCATACCCTCAGTCACTTCACTTGTTTTCCTCAGTTTCTTCAGATGTCAAATTGGGAAAGTAGGGGTTAACTCACAAGATTGTGCCCAGCCATGTAGCCTCCATAGGGCACTGAAAATAAGGACCCTTGTCACCCTCCCCACCAAGAGCTTCTGCCTTAAGAAATGAAGCCTGTGTGCATTCATGCGTGGTCCCAGCAGAGCACTGTTCCTGGAGCCTCTTTCTGAAAATGTATGTTTGCTTTCCAGCCGTCCCTGGAAACCGTGGTGACCTGTGCTTGTTTTGGCAGGGTAGGGAAAGCCTGGATACACAAAGCAAGCCTTTGACTCTGCTCACCGTGTGGGATTGGTCAGTACAGTTTGAACCCAAAGCACAGACATTGCTTAGAAACCCTCTCTATGTGGAAAAGCCAAAACTGGACAAAGGCCAGAGGAAAGGATCACGTTTCAAAGTAAGATATGCATGTCTTACCCTCCCCCCGCATTGGCTCCTCCATCCCATGCATGTGAGGACAAAGGCTACTTTATGGATCTTTATGGATCTCTCTGTTGGTGTGACCTCCAACACAGTGTGCAGTTGGGATTTGTGGCACTTGGGTTAATGGGTCTCATTAGTGATGCCTTCAGCTAATCTGCCTTTGCTCTGATGAGACATGCCACCGAGGCTGCTATTGTCCTGGTTGTGCTGCATGGAATTATGTCTCTTACCCTCTCTGTGTGGCTGGTAGAGTGAAGGGAACATTGATTGTGGAGGTTTTACTCCTCATATACCAGTTTGTATATTTCATAGCAAGACTTTTCTTTTTCTTTTTAAAAACACTATTCGTTGGGCACCCTAGCACTTGGGAAGCAGAGGCCGGCAGATTTCTGTGAGTTCGAGGCCAGCCTGGTCTACAAAGCTACTCAGAGAAACTCTATATCGAAAAACAAGAACAACAGCTATTTTATGAGTTTGTGTGTTTTATTTGATATATATCTGTGTACTACATGTGTGCCTGGTACCCACAGAGCCCAGAAAAAAGAGCCCTGGATCCCCTGAAATTGGATTTCTAGTCAGTTATGAACCTCTGTGGGTGCTGGGAATCAAACCTGTATCCACTGGAAGTCAGTGCTGTTAAACACTGAACAAAGAGTTTACTTAGAAACCTATCAACTGAGAGTGACAAGCTTTATGTCAAGGTCTGTACTATGTCCCAGCTCTGCCTATTCTACTGTTGTGGCAAAAACAGTGGTCCTGAATGTTATACAGTGGCCACAGCTGTGTTCCAGTGTTTTACATAAGTGTCATCCCAGTTTTGGCTCATGAACTAGAGTTTGCCAGCCTGTATCCTAAACCACAAACAGCAAGTCTACTTTTCTTTTAGATTTTTTTCCCTGATTTTACTAATGATCATACTCTGAAATTCACTTAACTGACATACAGTTAAAACAGCTTTGTCACCGGGCCTGGAATGTCTCTGACAGTGATGGAAAATCCAAGTCCATGCATGTCAACATCTTTCCCACCACTGTCCTTCCTACCTGCCTGATCCTCAGGGGCCCTAGGCATGGGACAGGGTTCTAGTCTAAGGAAGCTGGGCTCAAGTGAGCCAAGGCCAGCACTTGGAGACCAAGTCAGCTTCTGAGCACTTCCATCTGCCATGTTGCCCTTCTAGCTGTCCTCAGGCCCAAAGCAAATGCTTCCCTTTTCTGCAGTGTCAGCCCAAGTCAGCCAGGGATGAGCTTTTCTTTGGTGTGCCATGCCCCCTGGTGGCAGCCTGCACTAGAGTCTCAGAGCTGCCAGGTACCTGTGGGGCATGAAGCCACAGAGACAGCTAAGCACCCCTTGTCTGCTGTCCTTGCTGTCTCTTTTTATAGACTGTGGCAGATGATGTAAGCCAAGGGGCGGGAGGATTGAGGTTGTGTAAGTGAAGCAGGACTGGAGGTGAGCGACAAGGGACGTGGTCACAAGGTACCAGCTGGGGTACCATGCTGAGAGGACACATGGGAGCAGAGGCTTCAACACTTAGCAACATTTGGAGACAGTTAGATTCCCTTGGCTCTTTGTTTTGGTTTTTGGTTTTTATTTGTTTGGTCCCACATTCCTGCCTGACTCTCCTTGGTCATTATGAAGAAGAGAGGCCAATGATGCTTGGTTTTCATCTTTGGCCTCTTTCATCCATCTATATCTGGATGGAGAGTCAAAGCTTCTGGTCATCTCTGAGTTGTGCTGTTGTGGATAACTGCCTATGTGTGTGCATTTTTTATTGTTACTACTTATTCCATAATGAGGAAATATTTCCTTTGTAAAATTTTTATACTAGTAGAAATATATTTGAAAATTGGAGTACTAGTCTGAAGATAATATTTTTACTCTAGTCTTACTTTTTGGTAAGGTCTCACACTATTGCTCAGGCTGACATGAAATTCATTATGTAATTCAAGCTAGCACTAAGCTCCTGGCAGTCTCCTGTCTCAGTCTCCTAGCATGGGATTCCAGGAGTCAGCCACTGTTTATGGCTCTCTGGTCCTCCTTTGCTTGAACACATTAAGAGCAGAACAGTTGACAGGAAACAGCTTCTCCTCACATTTGGACCTTTTCCTTTGGGAATCTATGAAACCCACAACCTCTGACCTATCTTCATTACCTTCTCACGGTGTGCCTTGCTTCGGCTACTGAGAAAGCTTAAAAGCAGGAACAAAACTTAAATGCTCTCGTGTTTCCTATTCTGTGCAGCCTGCCAAACAAGAATGTCTGGCCAAGTTAGCCTGTTCCTCTTAGCCATTGCCTCTGCTCCCACTGCCTATGGGTCAGTACTATACCTTGAAGATGTTCAGACTATTACTGCAGTTAAGAGCTCTTACATTCTCAGAAAAGAAACATTTCTTTCCTTTTAACTGATGTGCTAACAGTGGCAGCACATACCTGTAATGCCAGTGATTGGAAGGCAGAAGCAGGAGGAGCCCAGTGTTTCAGGCCAGCCTGGTCTACACAGCGGGTTCCAGCTATATAAGTAAAAGACTGTCTCAAAAAGCCCCCGAGACTGAGGTAAATCATTAACTGTGCCAAACCAGTTTCTCTGAGGTACTCTGTTCCATTGATAACCCTCCTACCAGAAGGACTAGTCTGTCCCAGCATGCCTTTCTGTGCAGCCCCATGTGTGCCTGGTTTCTTTCATTGTTGATAATACACCAGGGTCACCAGGAACAGGAAGTCCTTTCTATCGATGTACTACAGCATTTTAATGGATGCACATGAAATGGCAGATCTGATGTCTCTTGACACGGCTTGAAGCAGAATGATGATGCTCTTTATTATCATTATTAATTATTATAAAAATAACTATTATCATCATTATTACTGTCACCTCACCTGTTAACCAGGTATTCTCCCCTTTTGTGTTCTCTTTCAAAGCATCAGCGACAGCTTTCTTTGCCACTCACCCAGTCGAAGTCATCTCCCAAAAGAGGATTTTTCAGAGAAGAAACAGATCATTTAATCAAAAACCTTTTAGGCAAGAGAATTAGTAAGCTTATTAACTCTTCTGACGAGTTCCAGGACAACTCTCGAGAGTTCTATGACAACTGGCATAGTAAGCCCACAGACTACCACGGCTTGTTACTGCCTCACATCGAGGGGCCAGAAATCAAGGTGTGGGCCCAGCGCTACTTACGTTGGATTCCAGAAGCCCAAATCCTGGGTGGTGGCAGAGTGGCCACTATGAGCAAACTGTTGGAGATGATGGAGGAAGTACAGAGCTTACAGGAAAAAATCGACGCCAAGCACCACAGACAGGAGGCGCACACACAGGCACCGTGTCTGCTCAGGAACTCTGCCCGCCTGTCCTCTTTGTTCCCTTTTGCAATGCTCCAGCGACATTCCTCTAAGCCTGTCTTACCCACCAGTGGCTGGAAAGCTCTGGGAGGTGAAGATGACTTGGCCAAACGAGAAGACGAGTTTGTGGACCTAGGGGATGTGTGACCTGTCTCCTCAGGGACTGTGTGAAAGAGGCATGCCAGAGGGTGGGACAGCTGTTCCTGGACTGGTGTCACGGTGTTAGTCCAGTACTGTGGAGGAGAAAGCCCAGGCTCCCGGGAAGAGAGCTGGTTCTTCTTTCTTTCCCAGTCTAAAAGATGATGCAATTAAAGCTGTGTCTCCAGCACTCAGAGAACAGATCCTGCTTGACCTGCCATAGGATTGGAGTCATTTCCTGACACCTGTATAACATGTACACAAAATGCCTCACGGCCAGGTTGCTGTGAAATCTTCCTTCTATTTTCTGTGCCAAGATAATTATGTAGCCTTGGGAACAAGAGCGAGGTCAGCTTTATATAGTGTCTGTAAATGGAGAGACGGAAAAATATTCCTTTTCTATGGAATTTTCCATAGAAAAGCTGGAAAATTCCACTGGTGTCATTCATCCTAACATTCAGACCCTTCTCCCTTGACTGTAACAAGGTGGGGTGGTGGCAGCCACCCTTCCTCTTTCCTGGGCCGACATTCCTAACTTCCTTCTTCCTGCTCCTTGCCATCTGCACTGCCCACCTTGGTGCAAATTGTCCCAGTGTCTTGCTGCTGACCTCTTGATTAAACTGGGGAATCCCTCTGTCTTCCAAGGGGAGCTTCCATTCCTTGGATCCCTCCATTTTGAGCATGCATTTGGTCTTCTATTTATGTCCAGAGGCTCATGGCACCTGGACTGTTGCCTCTCCGCAACCCCTCAGTTGCTCCCCACTCCTTCCCCCTTACTGTCATGGACACTAGGGCAGGCAGGTCACTTTCACAGGAAAGCCATTGTGTCACATGTGATTATCACGGGATGCCTCAGTAATTTAAAAGCCATAGAAGAAACTCAGCTCTGCCTGGTCACCTTGGATCTGCTGTTTTAAAGATAATATATTTTTTTTAGGGTTTGAAAGTATACTTTGTAAGGATCATTCCTGTTGTTCTTAATGGAACCCTGTGCAACCCCTCAAAAGGCAGGGAGCGTGGAGAGTAGGATGGGATGAGGAACCTCATTTGAGAATGTCTCAAGTGTTTGCCTTTCTACAGTTGCTGTTTTGGAGAGATCCTGTTGAGGAAATCTTTGTTGCTCATGGGCAATAAGGCGTTTTGAAACTTTACAAAGAGTTCTTTCTGATTTGCACTGAGTCATCTTTTGTACACAATGACCATTTTTTCTTCTTCTCCCCTCCACACCAATGCACAAAGTCAGGTTGGTGTGTTGAGATGGCATGTTGAGGGGAGGCGAGAATTTGTGTTTCGAGGGCCAGATGCACTCAGTCTTGGTTGCCTTAAGAGTCTTTCAGGCCAGGTCCGTGCTCGGCTTGTCATAGGGAATTTTAAAGCATACACATTCTTAGCTACCTTCACACGAGTTCTTCAAGCGTTCTAAACTATCAGTAACCGCCACTTCCTCTCTGCCACTACTTCCCAAAAACTCAGTAGATAACTATTTTTGTTACCATATTATAACGGGAATATTTATATGGTAGTCTCTATAGTCTTATGATTTCCTTTCCAAAAATGCCTCATGTGATGTCTTATCCTTCACAAGGTATAGTTTAAAGGCACAAGGTCATGTCCATTGTTATAGCAGTTGAATGTGCATTGAATATTTTTCTATTTTTTTAAATCACAATAGAAAAAGTAAGCAAGCTGTTGTCACCTGTGTGATTTATGACCATTTATGTATTTATATTTGAAACAAGATTTCTATAACTTGTATTTGTGTATAGAACTTTCCATGGGTTTATATATTGTGAATTTTTATCCAAGATTGAGATGTGGATTATGCTTAACATTAAAAGATAAAATAAGACCATTTGTTTAAAATGTACTGTGCATGTTTGGAAGTGTATATTAATAATTTATACCTGGCATTTGTTTATACCTCCAAGTTTTTACACTGAAGATAAACTAGCTTTAATTACATTCAAACAATTTAAGGGCGTAAGCAGTTAGGCTGAGTCAGTATAAACATTCAGCTTATTTTCTGGTGTTAATGAAGGTTTATTCTCCTGTCTCACTGCATTGTAGCTGACTGCAGAGATTAAAGCACAACTTAGAAGCAGCACTATGATTGATGTGCGTGCTCTGACTCCTGCTTCATCCTTCTCATTCATTCAGGACATGATATGCCTGGCCTGCAGCAGACACAAAGCCCTGGGAAGCTCAAGGCTGTGCTTTTCTGGACTGCCCCCCCCTTCTCTCTCCTCTCTGTATGTGTACACTCATATGTGGTTGGCAGGAAATGGGGTACCAGCATCTGAACAAATACTTCAAATCCGAGATGGTAACAAAATGCTATGAAAAGGGATGGTGAGATGGCAAGCAGGTTAAGGAACTCACCCTGACTGTGATGACTCTAGTTTATTCCAGGGACCCAAGAGGTGAAAGGAAAAAACTGACACACACACATGGCAAGCACCCTTCTGGTCTGTGCTCTTCACACAAAATAAATAAATGTAATTTCTAGTGTTATGAAGAAAAAGTAAATAGGGCCAGGAGCCCTCCAGGGAGAGTAAAAGAGAGGGCTTTTTTGTATCCTCGAAACTAGCTAACATTGCACCTTTGTTCTGTGGAGATCTATGATGTTAGTTTTATTTCATGCTGGAAGGGATCTCAGTTCATTTAAAGCTGAGAGATCGTCTTATTTTTTTTCTACCAGATGTGAAAAGTGAGCTTGCCCAGAGAAAATGACCTAGTAGAATAGGATTTTATGTCATCTATTTGGTTTAATACTACCAACGGGCAGTGGTGACCCACACCTTTAATCCCGGCACATGAGAGACAGAGGCAGGCAGATCTCTGTGTGTTCAGGGCCAGCCTGGTCTACAGAGCAAGTGCCTTGACAGGCTCCAAAGCTACACAGAGAAACCCTATCTCAAAAAACAAAACAAACAAACAAAACAAAACAAAGCAAATGTATCAAATTGGAAGCTGTTGCTTGTTTTGTTCTGAGAAGTTCTGTCCTACCTGCAGATTAGGCTTCCCATGCCTTTGTCCACATCCTGAAACACCTTTCCCTGTCTGGCCGGCCTCCTCTCCTGTGTCCAAAAGCCAGCCTTGAGACTCTCCAGGAATCTAATAGGCTCTTGTTGCTGCCACACTCCTTTAAACTTAATTTTTTAATGATTATTTCATTTTTATATTATGTGCATGAGAGTTTCCTGCAGAGGTCAAAAGAGGACATTGGATCCCCTGAAACTAGAGCCACAGATGGCTGTGAAACCGCCTTGTAGGTGCTGGGAGCTAAACCAAGTCCTTTGCCAGTGTCCTTAACCACTGAGCCATCTCTCCAGTGTCTCCCTCCCAGACTCCTTGCTTAAATAGTTGTATTATATTCTTAACTGGCTAAGACCCTGGAGAATCACAGCTTCCTTATTTCCCCTCTCTTGATCTTGTGCAATCTGTGGTCTCTCACTCAATTTTGCTTCCTTCTTGGTTTTGGCCAAGGGTGTGGGGGACACTTAATGAGGGAATAAAATGGAGTATTTCCTGTCCAGTTAGAAACACAATGGCAAATGGTTCCTGTTGAGAATGAGCTGGGTGCTTTTGTTACTCCTGACCTTTTGTGGGGCAAACCATAGAAAGAACCTGACTAAAGCCCACATTCAGAGCTCCCCCTCTGGTTGCAGTGGCTCTCCAGAGCTAAGGTTATGCCCCCACGGTGACTCATTTATAATGCCATCCTTGGGGCAGGACCGATTGGAGCTAAGCATCTGGAATCATGCACGTGTGAACACACACACACACACACACACACGCACACCCTGCTATCAGGATAGGATCTGCAGTGCTGTGTGGTCTTTACCCCAACATTTACTCACACACACACACACACACGCACACACGCGTGTGCGCGCGCACACACACACACACACACGTACCCTGCTATCAGGATAGGATCTGCAGTGCTGTGTGGTCTTTACCCCAACATTTACTCTTCTGTGCTGTGTAATCTTAACCGTCAACTTCTTTATTCACCTAGGAGACAAACTTCAGGGCTCATGTGTGAGGCCATTTCTAGAGAGGTTTAACTGGGATGGGAGGACCCACTCTGAACGTGGGCAACACTAATCCGTGGGCTGGTGGAACTTAGGCCAAATAAAAGGAAGCCAGCTTAGTACCTGCCATCTCCCCTTTCTTACCACAGACACAAGTGACCAGCCACCTGATGTTCTTGCTGCAAAGATGGATGGCAGCCTCAAACTCTTTTCTGTCCTCTCCTCTCCTCTCTCCTCCCCCCCCCCCCACTTTGGTGAGGTATTTTGTAACAGCAACAAGCAAGCTATCAAAAATCTGCCACCATCCCACTGCCATACCCCATGCCCACCCTGAAAAGTATTTAGGATAGGCAAAGGAGAGGCGTCCTGTTTTGCTGTGGATTCCAGTTTACCAGAAAACTGTCCTAGTGCTTACATGTGAGATTGGTACCAGCGTGGATAATGCAGTCAGTGTTTTACATGTTATTTACATATTCAAGAGGAAAGTATCTTGTTCGGTTGGTGGTAGGCATTGGTAGCCTACTTTGTGGTGTAGGCCTGGCCTTTTGTCTTTTACACTGTCTTTAGCAATTAAAGGGTATGAAGTGTATAGTCGTGAAGGTGATGGGCTTTTTGGCCACTTACTCTTTTTTTTTTTTTTTTTAAGTTAGTTTTATAAAGAAAGCAAACAAGAAACTGTTGTCTTGGAAGCCTAAATGAAAGTATGGTCAAAACAACCTCTCCTCACAGTTGTGGTGTACAACTTTAATCCCAGCACTCTTTAGGCAGAGGTAGGTGAATCTCTTGAGTTCAAGGCCAGCCTGGTCTGCAGAGTGAGTTCCAGGACAGCCATGGTTACACAGAGAAACCTTGTCTTAAAACACAAACAAAAAGAAAAAAAGAAAAGCCCCTCTTTCCAGCAGTTCGGGCCTGGTGAATATGCCATGCTCACTGAACTGCAGCAAAACAGGCACAGTGCATGCCTTTCCTGGGTAGGGAAAGGATGCAGGCACACCACGTTTATCCCTGCGGACCTTGATTGGAATCTACTACAGTTGTTTCAACAAGAGAAACAAAAAGAACCTGTGCCGAAACTGTCTCTTACAGTCTGCTGAGATTCCCAAGGAGTGCAGGTGAGGACGGGCTAGATAAGAGGACTCGTTTGTATGTATCCTCATAGCAGCTGATTTATGCAGAATGTGTGTGTATGAACCTAGCAAGTGTACACTAAGGAGTTGAGTGTGAAATTTTACATCAAAACAACAGAACAAAAAGGCTGATAATATAACTCAAGGTAGAGTACTCCAACTAGCATGCATGAGGCTCAAGTCAGTCTCCTGAAGTGAAAATAAAATGAAAGGGGAAAAAGTAGCAAAGCAACTACATAGGTATTTGATGATTCTCAGTGTGATGTCTATAGTTACTTTGAAATGCTACTAAAATTAAGCTGGGTTAATGGATCTGTAGAAGACTACCAGCTAGATTAAAAAAAAATAGCAACAGTAAAATTATCTAGAAGTAGTAATTAGGCAATATATGTGTTTATCACTTTCTTTATATTCCTGTGTTGATAGGCATTTTGTTTTTCTCCTTTGAGACAGGGTCTTACTATATAGCCCTCACGGTCCTGGAGCTCACTATGTAGACTGAGCTCACAGGGATCTGTCTACCCTGCCTCCCAAGTACTGGGATTAAAGGCGTGTATTCACCATGCCTGGCTATAGTTTTTATACTAATTTTGGAAGAAGTTTAAATCCTCCAAGAAAGAATTGGACATAGGAGGAGTAATAAATGGGAGTTATTGATCATTTAAAGGAGATGTCCCAACCTTATAAAGAAAGCTACCTGGCCCCAGAAGGATATAATGGGATTTTGTAGAATGATAAATTTTAAAAAGAGTCAGAGACAAGCTTCAAACTGAGTGTCAGAAAAGCAAAGCAGCCAGCCACTAGCTCTTACCTCTACCTATGCTCAGACCAAAGGGATGATCCTCAAACTGCTCCTGAATTCACTGCTCCGCAGGTTCTCTCAGACTGCTGTGCTCTCTGTGTGGGTAGAGACTCACTCTCAGACTGAATGCCTCTACCTTTTATACCTCTCAACCCCTGGAATCAAAGGTGTGAGCTCTGATTCACTCTCCATTATCCCAGGGTGGTCTTGGACTGAGATTCATCTCCCTTTCTCCGGAGTCCTGGGATTAAAGGTGTGCAATACCACTGTCTAGTTTCTTTTTGTTTTTTTTTTTCGAGACAGTGGAACTGGCTATGTAGACCAGGCTGGCCTTGAACTCACAGAGATCCACCTGCCTCTGCCTCCCGAGTGCTGAGATAAAAGAGCTACAACACCAACACCGGGCCACTGTCTAGTTTCTGTAGCTAACTAGTGTGGCTGGCTTTGCAAGCTGATTGCCAGTGGCTTTATTAGATCATAAACAATATGTCACCACAGGATTTGGAGGAGAGGAAAGTGGTTCATGTAGTCATTTGGGAAACTGAAGAAAGAACTAGCATGCTTATGTCCACCTCCCCCCCCCCCAGCCTTTCCCCTGCTCTCTTGGTCTTTGTGTCATCATCTGCCCTCTAGATCATTGTCCTCAGCCTTCCACTCTGGTCCCTCCTCTTTTGTCACATCTCATATGCTGTCCATGATTCTTCTTGAGGCACACACATATTTCTTGGAGGATTGTGGGCTGGAGAGATGGCTCAGCAGTTAAGAGCACTGGCTGCCCTTCCAGAGGACATAAGTTCAAGTCCCAGCAACCACATAGTGGCTTACAACCATCCATAGTGGGATCTGATGCCCTCTTCTGGCATAAAGGTGTACATGCAGATAGAGCACTCATGCAAATAAATAAAAAATTAAAGATATTTTAAAAACCCAGAATTGATGTTATTTAAGGTAGAAAGCATTCTGTGTCTGTCTGTGTCTCTCTCCCACTCTCTCTCTCTCTCTCTGTGTGTATGTGTGTGCTTGCATGTAGGACATTTGAGATGCTACCTGCTCTCAGTGCTCGTGGGCAGAGAGGCCTTTCCTTACGGGGTTCTTGCTGTCTTGAATGGCAGAACAGGTCTCTCCCCTCCCCAGT